AAAGCGGATTCTAACAATAAAGAGAACTTTCATACGTCAAATCGGATTACATTAAGATGGAATCAGATCATTAGCTTTTACACAAAGCTTGCCATATTATCCTCTTTCCATTTTTCAGAATGGAATGTTCCCTAAGAAGCCTTCCTGGGGGAAAAAATCATTTTAGTTAGCAAAGCTGAATAGAAATATAATTATTAGTTCAATTATACTGTTTCCTAAAGGCATTTATTAATATACTTAATATAATATTCCTATCCTTCTATAATATTTAATCATTTTGTTTAAGAAATATAGAATATTATATTGTCTTACTTTTTTACACAATCATAAAAATGATTAATTAAGAAATCACAAATGATCTAAGTTTTAATATGGTTTGCTTTTAACATACTGGGTGAACCTAGCTAATTACAGCTTGTTAAACAAATCATGGTTCAGAGCACTTTGTGAATCCAGAATTCACTTCTGCTATTTGGAATGTAATTATTACCTCACAATATTTCTCTTTTTCTCTCACATATAGACCATATCCATATCCTCATTAATTGCAATATTGGGTGCAATGGCTAAAGAGAGAAAAAAAGTAACAGACGAAATGACCAATTTCACCACACTCCATTTTCTATTTGTTAAGTTCTGCTTGGCTAAAGAATTATGAGAGAGGCCTGCAAATAAAACTGGGAGCTTACTATAATAGCATTATTATTTTTCTTATCTTATAAACACATAATTTGGATTGTCTTTGTTGTCTCTTAAATTGAAATGTTTGACAAAAATCCTTGATAACCTCCAGTTAGGAAACTGCCAAACAATAGCCAGGAATCCAGTAAGCAATTATTTTCTTAAGATTTTTCTCTTCACCTAACCTGCTTTTCTTCTTGCTCAAGGCAATATATAAAGCAACAGACAGAACGTCTGCCATTATGGTTTCATAATTATGTAAAAAAGCTTCATTTAATGAACTTGCAGAGTTGACAGTTTTCCCATAGGTTGCTGATTCATAATGTGATTTCTTCATTTTGGCTAACTGCACACCCAGTCATTGTGGTTTATAAATCATTATGTATAACTGATCTGCTTCATATGTATTACAATGCAATCATGGTTTACTCAAATAAACCAAAACTTCCTGTCCACCCAATTTGCTAACCCACCAAAATGATTTATAAACTACAATGACTTGGTTCACACAAGCTAAGTTAAAGCAATTCTTATGGCTTAATGAAACTTATAAATCTTTTGTTGTGAAAAATCATGATTAAACAAACTGGCTACATCAATGTCCTGAAATTTCACTATCTAAATGATAAACTTTTTGGTTGGTCACAATGATTCTCAGGATGGTTATTAATGAAACTATTAATATAAGATGCTGTTATTACCCTGTTCCTGACCTATCAATGGAGGTATGTGGACTATCCTCAAAGTAGATGAATTAGGAAATTCTTATAAGAGCTATCAATTTCCTGAATATGACTACTGAATGAATAACATGTGACCTCTTTCTCATCTAAACATTTTACCATTTATCTAGGTAGGGATAAGAAGACTGCTTTGCAAGTTTAGTTCATACTGTGCACTCAAGTATCTGAAATCAATAAATTCAAGACCAAGGTAGTTGTTTTCAGACAGAGGGAGGCCAGGTATAATTGAAGTCTGGATGGGAACATATGGATCAGGTGAAGTCCTATCTACATTTAGGACCTGATTTCAAATAAACAGACTCCCATGTTTTAAGGGCTACAGCCTGTGTCAATACCATAAGGTTACTCACCAACTACAGCTATCCGAGTTCTCTAATTCCAATTACAAAGATACATAACAGAAAAGTAGTCCTAATGATTACAAATAGTACAGAAGGGGGCTATACAAATGCCCCCTTCGTGGAACAGTTATAGCCTACTTTTACAAAATACATCTTAAGGGTGGATAGGTCTACACCAATTTCAGCAGGAAGGGCAGATTTGAGTATAAAGCCATCTGGTAATTAAATTATTCAATAACTGGCTGTAGATCTTATCTATGGACTCAGATAAACTGTGTTTCAAAAAGCAGTTACATGCTACTTGCATTTGAGCCATCCATCTTTCAAATGTCACCTCACAATATGGATTTTCCATTCAATTCCCAGTCCAATCAGATCTGAAGGCCAAGAAAACTTTGAAGCAAAAAGTTATTAAATGTGGCTGCCCAAGATAATATTGCAGCATTTAAATATGTTAAGTCTTACATGTCGTACAACTAAGGTGACCAACCGTTCTCTTTTAGGAAGGACAGTCCTCCTTTTGTGAGTTCTGTCCTCCCTCGAGAAGTGTCCTCCTACATGTCCTCCTTTTCAATATTTGAAGACTAATCTGCAGGGCTTTTTTTCCCATCATAGAACACTCAGAACAGTGTTCCGGCACCTTTTTTTTTTCAACTTTTGCATGAGCTGTGCTACTCCCCCTATTGGCTTTTGAAAGCCAATAGGAATTGCTGCTGAGCGTGCCAAAACACCTGGCCGGCAAACTTTGCACATGTAAGTTGTCTGCAGCGAAGGCGAATTGGCAGGAACTTTGCACCCCTCCCTGCTCCCCAAATACACCATCTCCTAGTTAGTCCCAAAGATACCTGGAGGAGACTGAAGCGGCGAAGCCACGGTAACTTTCTCTTGATCTTCGGCCCTGCTAGGGCAATAATGGCTGCGGGCGCAAGAGGCAGGGGCAGCAGGGCTGCTTCGGGTGGGGTTGTGAGAGGCAGTGGTGGCTGGCTGCCCCCGTGCTGTGGGAGCTGTGGGGCCTGCTCTATACGGGGCTGCGCAGGATGGGCGGTGGTGCTGGCGGGGCGGCTGCAGGCGGGGTGTGTTGATGGTGGGCTGCCCCCCAGGGCTGGAGCCGGCGCAGCTGGTGCTTTGGGAGCCACAGGGCCCGCTCTACATGGTGGAGCAGCAGTGCTGGCGGGGCGGCTGTGGGCGGGGGCATGGCATGTAAGCTTAATTACAATATAAAATGTTATTGTTACAAATGTTTTTTATTATGCATTTATCATATTATAGTGTATTCTGTATTATTGTTGCAATGAATAAAATGTTTCTTTTATTTACGATATTTTTTTCTTCAATTTATTTGTGTCTTCATTTTCATTGTAAAAAAGTTGGTCATCTTACTTACAACACAAATTAGCTTCCCAGTTAAAAAAATATTTAACAATTTATATGCTTTTTTGTAGAGTTCATTTCAAACAACTAAACTCCATGGTAAGATATGAGAGATTTCACCAAGTTCCAAATGCAGAAGACTGTATTAATGGAGCATCAGTTATTGAAGTCTTTGGGCATATTCTTTTTTGTTGCAAGCTACTCTGCAGAAAAACCCTTCTTATTTAGGTTCTTATTTAAAAACTAAAAAAATACTGGAGCACCCGGGAAATACTATCTTATTTTATGCAGGAAATGAACCTGCATATCACTGGGAAGATCACAATCTTTACGGTATATCAAAAGTCATTTTAAAAAATTAGATCAGATTGTGATTAAATATAGAGGTGATGACTTATTATGAACATATTCTACTGTTTTCTTTGCATCTATGTATATCTGTATTAGTTTTATATTTTTGATATGGTCAAATGACTGAATCCATAAAGTTTATATTCTACTTAAAGATTTTACGAAAAAGCATATATAAATAAATTGCATTGCATTACATTGGCTTAGAATTAACCTTATTTATTGCGTACCAAATTCAAAATCTATATACTACTAAATACTAAATACTACTAACATTCTCCTGTTTGTTACCTTCAATTAGCCAAAATGTTGCATCATAGAGCAGCAATGTTTGAACCAAAGTACCTCAAATGCACTAACTTAAAGAATGTGTACAAAATCTGGGACCCATAATTCCTGTGGAATTGAAATTTCAAACCAGCTGTATTCACAAATTTGTGACTCCTGCAAAGCTGCCATGGACATTTGTGATCACATGAACATGATTTCTAATGCTCCCTGCTATCTTCCAACAAGCAAAGTCAATATGGAAGCCAACAGGAAGTTGGAAGTCACTTCCACTACCAGTGCTTTTTTGCATTGCTCATTTTATTTATCTCTTAGGTAAATAAATATTGACAAAGAATGATCCAACTGATTGTACATTGTCTAGATTGCAGATTTCAGGCACTATTGTTGATTGCAGATTTAAGGCAGTATTGTCATCTATTAGCATTTACTTTGGGACAAACTAAAATGAGAAGTGAGACTCTAAATATAGGATCCAAAACTGCTTTTACAGTATTATATCTCTGAAAGTATCAATTTGTTATACTAAACTGTGTGTTTAAGTAAAACACCTCTTCACCACTAATCATTTTATGCCAATATATTGTTTTAGTGCACTCCCTATCTGGGTACTCTGTCTCTGGCAAAACATCTTACATGCTTACCTATCAGCCAATCTTTGTTGACTGTCATTAAACATATGTCTTCATCCATTCCTCCTAACCAAATGTGAAAATTATACTTTCTTTGCTTATAGCTGGGAGCCTCAATATTGTACATGCACTTTCCTTGGAACCACTAGACTCCCTGCTGTCTCAACTATTTAAAATGTTCACATATTTTTTAAAGTATTTAATACATTTTACGTTTTGTAACTAGAATGCTACAAAACAGTGCCAGTCTTCTACATTTAAGAATGCTATCTACAACAAGGGCCACAGGTAAGTTCATAATTTAGTAAACATAAGTATTTGCACCCCAGTGATTTGTTTAAAAGGAGAGGATCTATTATTCAGCAGTTCAGAACAAAGACTTTTAATTAAATGCTGTACAAGCATTTTGTCTCCTCCTGTGCCCTTCAGTAAATTTCTCACCCTTGTCTTCCAAACCATCCATGGATGTCTGCTATTTATCGTTCTAAATTCTCATATTCCAAAGCATAGAATCAAAAAGTTTGTGAGGGCTATTCAGGCCACATTCAATCTTCTGAAGGCAATCCCCCCCCCCCCCGCTGCCTTTTTGTTTAGAACTGTATCCAACAGTATGAAGCAATTATAATTTTTAGAAATGCCTCCTTTGAAATAATCATCCCTGAAAGGATTTCAAAACTATTGTGTAGCTACAATTCCATGTTAGAACTAAGGCCACATAGCTATTATTGAGGGCCCACACATTTTCCCTCCATCTTTTCCTTCTGTAACTCCTGTCCTTTTCCTCTCCTATTTCCTGCTGTGAATTTTTAGACTGAAAGTCATTTGCATTAGTAGCCTGTGAAAACTGCTCTTTGTAAAGAATTATGTCCATGGTTTTTGATCTTTTTCTCTACAGATTGCATGTGTGCAATACTAATTATCTAGGGAGAAAACAGCATTCCACACACACACACACAAATACAAATGCACACACAGGTGTGTGTATGTGTATATATACGTGTGTATATCTATCCATCTATCTAATTTTATCTATATCTGTAGATATCTTCAGCTACTGTTCCAAGAGTGGTTGGGTAGTGTATTGGTTAGAGCACTGCCTTTGATGTGTGAGACCAGAGTATATCCCAACTGATACCTATCTTATGAGTAGGAGTCCTTGATCCCCTAATGCTTCACCTGCCTACCTCAAAATATGAAAATGGCATGAACTAGGAGAGTCATGCCAGCTGAGATATCACCTGGATTGATGATAGCTGTGTCAAATTTTGAGGAACAGGAGAATCTGATAATATGTGGACTATTGGAATAAACCTTTCATGAATGAGAAAGAGAACCTAGAACTGACTGAACTCTATTACATTTTATCCTATTACAGGAGACTGAATGGATATACGAAGCATATGAAAGAACTGTGAAGGGACAGAAGGCCTGCAGCCACACACTGAGAAACAGCTAGTTACCCAATGATTCAACATAGTGAAGAGAAAGCTGCTATCACAGATGGAGATAAACATTACATCCCAAACTCAAGAACACCTGGAAGAACAACTGGGTATGCAGCCAACACCTGAGGATGGAACTTCATTATCACCCTCTCCATTGCAGAGCACAGCTGCTGATATGAGGCACAAAATCATGGATAAGCTAGCTATAATCAAACCTTGAGTCCAGTTGCCAAGGCTCAGTAGAGAAATACCATCAGATAATATGCTAGAAGATGCTAATAGAGCCCTTTTAACAATCTCTACTACCAGGATAACTAATACCAATGATATATGCTATGACTGCTGTAATCCGAGAGATACTTAGCTTTACAAGCAACACAATCACAAGAACAGTCGTACATATACCCCTTGGAAAATAAAGTTAGAAGGTTAACCAACTCAGAGAGGTTAGTCAGTTGGTGGAGTTATAGAAAAAAGTGAAGAGTGAAAAAATCCAAGGACCTAACTCTATCTGAAGCCTTCAAGACTGCTAAACACAGGCTAATGCCACTGGGTACCGGGCTAAGGAAATATACTAGAAAATCATAGGCCTTGAAAATAAAAGCCTTGTTCCCTAAAGAACCATCCAAAGTATAGTCCAAGATGTAGTGCAATAACATAGTAACAGCAGAGCCATCAACATCAGAAACTGAATAGTACTAGAAGGACATATGGCAGAAAGAGAAATCATAAAACAGTGTAAAATGGCTGCAAGATCTGAGAGCAGACCACAGCAATCTCCTTGAACAGGAACCAGTTACCATCATTACCATCATAGTAACAGACATTGAACAATGGATTAAGTACATGAAGAGCTGGACAGCACCTAGCCCAGATATGATCTACAATGGCTGGTTAAAGAAAGTAACAACAGTGCATGAACACCTACCGTGTTTCCCGAAAAGTAAGACCCGGACTTACTTTCTTTTGGACTCTGAAGTAAGCACTAGGTTTTATTTTCAGGGAGGGTTAACTTTTTGCCAATAGCAGTACCAGTAGGCCGCAAGCGCAGGGAGGTGAGGTAGGGCCTGTGCATGGGGTGGAGAAGCAACATGGCGGTGAGAGTGTGGTGGCAGACCAGGTACAATACCAGTGTGGCCGTGATGGGCGGCAGCAGAAAGGATGCCGAGCCTGGCGCAGAGAAAATTGGTCCAGATCTGGAGTGCCACCCTGCCATTGACCTATCAGGGCCCTTCGCCAGTGGTTGCCAGTGGAACCGTGCCACCCATGCCTCCGCCTTTGGGCTGCTGAGCACTAGCCTGCACGCCTACTCGGTGCTGCAAGCACCAGACTAAGGGCTAAACCTGGCACTCTTCGGGCCTCGCAGGGTTCTTTACCCTCCTGGCTGTGCTGCTCTGGGCTGTCCTGCTGGCGTAAATGCCAGCCTGCATGCTTATTTGGTGCTGCAGGGGCTAGGTTAAGAGCTGGACTTGGCCCTCTTAAGATCCTGGTGGGTGCTGCACCTCTCATGCCAGCTGGGTGCTTTTGGCCTCTACCAGCTGCTCCTACTGGATCACCTTCAGCCTGGCTGGCTGCTGCTGTCACCACGAGGTGAGGAAGCGAGGCAGGAGGTGGTGGGGGGTAGAGTTGCTTCCCTCCACCTGCCAGATGCCTACCGAAGCTGTGCAGGGTAAGATTGCGGAGCCCCCCTGCCTAGATGCCCTTGCCTCCCGTAAGAGTTTTTTTTACTAACTTGCCTTTCAGTTGCATTGCATTTCTCCATTTGCTTCTCAGCCTTCACCGTGTGTTTGTGGGACAAAAAAAAAAAAGTTCAATCAGACTTTCTAACTTCTTGTGAGATCTCGCAACAACGACAATGCTGATCATGAAAGTTCCCCACAAAGGAACAGCACCAGCCAACTACCAGCCAATAACCTGCCTCCCCATAATGGAAAGTCCTATCAGGCTTTATAGCCACCAAGCTACCCACTATATGGGCCAGTACATGAGCATAGCTGAGAAGGGCATTAGGATACCAGTTGCTCATAAATAGACTCAAAGTCTAGACAGAGCAATCTGAGCACAACCTGGATTGATTACAGGAAAAGCCTATGATTCAACATGATCTGTGACTGCCTGGCACTATACAAAGTCAACAGTACACTAAAAACGTGCCTCAAAAACTGTGGAAGAGAACACTAGAAGTCAAATCAAAACAATTCACATAAGTGGCCATAATGTTGTGGATGCTCCATCATGGGAGGTTTTCAAAAATAGGCTGGATTTGATTGAGATAGTATAAGGCTCCTGCCTCATCATTTGATTGAGATAGTATAAGGCTCCTGCCTTGAGCAGGGGGTTAGAGTAAAAGACCTCTGAGGACCCTTCTAAGCTTAGGATTGTATGTTCTATGTGGCATATACCAAGTGTGACATATACAAGGTGATGCACTGTTCCCACTGTTGTTCTATATATGTTTAAACTTCCTCACCCAGATAATCACAAAGACTGGCAACGGATACAAGTTTGAGAGTGGAATTATCATCAGCCACCTCTTCTACATGGATGACATCAAGCTGTATGCAAAGAATGAACAAGACATCAAATTGCTGATCCACTTGACATGGATCTACAGTGAGGATATTAGGATGTCACTCATCTAGAGAGGTATAGTCAGATGGTAATCAAGAGAAGAAAGTTAAGATTAATGGGGTGCAATTACATATCAGACTTACAAAGTTACAAGTACTTTTGTATCCCATAGTTACATGGGAACCATGATGAGAAGGCAAAGAATACAGCAACATCCAAGTAGAACAAATAAGAACAAAAGATCAGATCCTTAAAAGCCAGTTGAATGGAAAGAAGAAGATCCATGCCATCAACAAGCATGCACTGTCAATCATCAGATACCCTGGTGATGTAGTGAACTGACCAAAGAAGGACATGGAATCTTCCAGTGTGAACACCCAGAGGTTCCTCACAATGTACAGAGATTTCCACCCAAAGTCCAAGAGACTGTATACTAGAAGGAAAGAGTATTGTTGGGATCTGGGAGTGTCAAAGTCACTGTCATGGATGGAACCCAGAGTATCTAGGAGTACATGAGTATATGGCATGTAAAGACAAGCTGCTGAGAGAATGCCTGAAGCAGCAGAAGATGTGGAAGAAAGGTCAAGCAGAGGATGTACCATTGACAGTTAGTTGAGGTGGCAGACATTGGGAAATCCTACTAGTGGCTGGAAATGGCTGGACTAAAAGACAATGCTGAGGCACTGATCGTAACAGCCCAAGAACAGGCACTAAGTACCTGATTCATAGAAGCTGATTCATAGAAGTTGGTCTATTACATTAGACAGGATGCAAGGTGCAGACTGTACAAAGAGGCCTCAAAGACAGTCCAACATAGAGTGGCAGGGTATAATATGCAAGCAAGAACAGCATATTTTGAACAGCGCAACTAAATAGCTGGCATTGTGTACAGGAACATCAATACAGAATGTGGGCTAGGTCCTCCTAAGGCTAGATGACAGATCCCAGAGAATGTTGTGGAAAATAAGAGGGCTAAGAAGCTCTGGGATTTCCAGATCCAGGCAGGCAGGTATGTACTAGCCAATCAACCATAGTAGTAGACAAAAATCAGAAGACAGTAGTGATGATAGATATAACGGTGCCAAGTGACAACAACATCAGGAAGGAATCTAAACAACTGGAGAAGTACCAGGGACCCGAAAGAGGAACTGGAAAGGATGTGGAAAGTAAAGGCCAAAGTGGCCCCAGTAATGATAGGAGTACTTAGGGCTGTGACTCCTAAGCTGAGAGAATGGCTCCAACTGATCCTGGGAATGATGTCAGAACACTCTCTACAGAAGAGTGAAGTGCTAGGAATAGCTAAGATCTTACAAACTAAATGAGAGCAGAGAAAACAAAAAAGAAATAATAGAAAAGGCTAAAAGTGAAATGAGAAAATAAAAAAAAATACAAAGATACAAAAAAGGTAACTTCTGATATTTTTCCTATCAGTTATAACTGCAATTATATTTTAACCTCTCTAAAGTTACTTAGATACTTTCTTCTACAATCTGTCCTGTCTAATCAACAAAATTATAAATTACAAGTTTATTTTTTTTCATATTTCTGCAAAAAGTCCACAAGGGGTTTCCAGTCATCAATAATGTAGATATTGTCTTTTCTCTAATGAAAGATATCAGTTTGTCCATCTCAAAAAATTCTACCAATTTCATCAACTATTCTACTATGACGTGTCCAATCTTTCTTTCTTTATGCATATAGTAATCTCACCACAGTAATCATATACTGAAATAATCTTCTATGGCTTTTTCTGTTTATCTATTAATCTTAACAGGAAAATGTCTGTTTTTAATTGAATATTAGTCTTTAAAAATCCTGGGTATCAATGTATTTGAATCCAATTTTGTTTAGCTTTTTATAGATGTACTTTCAGGGTCATATGGGGTTATATATCAATGTACCTCATTTTATAAAAAATTTCTTTAAAATCATAGAATGTAAAATTCAATTCATTTAACCACATATTGATTCATCTGTATATAATAACCCAAATTCTTAGCCCACTTTATGAAGATTCCCCAAATATTTCCTAACCTGACGCACATATCCACAGAGTTCCTGCTCTTTCATAGCATCAAGGTGAAAATGTATTCAGCGTAGTGGCAGTAGCTATCACACATTGTGTCAATCGCTTTATAGGACATTCAAATTTCATGAGATGCACAATGCTATGCAGTTTAGTTTATCTAAATTTTGACGGGCTGTAACAAAGCTTCTGTCTTGGAAAGGGATGCACAGACATGCCTGTGATTTATACACTGTCATCGTTATGACGTCGCTGGATTGGGTGGGCTCCAAATGTTTAGATCTTCCCTCCATTTGGGCTTTAAAGGGTCTTTTCAATAGGAAGGGCACCTATTTTGGCCTTCAGCGCGCACCGCCCCTCCCCTTAAAATCTGAAAACTTCTAAGGCTGCAAATGCAGTGCTGGCGAGTGCAGCTCAGCCGTCTTCTAGAAACGGAAAACCCTTTGAGTTAGTGCGGCGTTTGGAAACAAGGAAATCCAACGCACGTCTGAAGGGGAACAAGTTAACAAGCTTGATGAGCCTTTCTGTTCCACCGCCATCTACCGCCAATCCTTTTGACTCCTTTACATGTGCATTGGTCTCTGACCTTCGTCTTCTTGCTTCCCCTTCCCGTCTAATTCTAATGGCGAAAGAGTCCAGGTTGAGGATGGAACCGCAAGGTGGAACCGCAAGGAAAAACTGGTTGGCCGCTCCCGCCTCCCGGACGCTCCTCCGCCCCACAAAAGACTTCGCGGCGGCCATGGTATATGTGCACAGAAGTAGAGACAAGCAAGAAACGGCACGCACCGCTCAGGTCCTAAACCGGGTGCAGGAAAGCGGGATGAAAACCCTGAGCGGGGGCTGGCGCCACGCTTCAGAGAAAGATTGGCTGCTTAGCCTCGCCCTTGTGGCATTCCTTCGGGGATGCCGTTCTTCTCTCACGAGGAAGACTCGAAGGTGCTGGAGCAATGTCTCCGACTCCGCGAAGTACAAGCGCTGGGGACGCTAAGCTTTCCCGCCTCGCGAGGGCTTCTTGGCTTGCGCAGGAGAAGGACAAGGCTCGGGCGCTCCCCACCTCAGACACGGCAGACCGTGAGAGTAGGCACTGTCGGGAGGCGCGCGAGTTCTTCGTGGCAGCGCAGGGGCAAAGCCGGTGGCTGCAGCCAACCCAAGAGACCCTGGAGGCGGGAGTCGCCTTGCCTGATCCTGGAGAGAAAAAGCGAGGCTTCAATTCGAAGGTAAATCAAGGGCGGACGAGCGCTTCTAGCCAATCCACCGCGCCCACGAGTAGAGAGAAATTGGAAAAATGGAGCGTAACAGAGGTATTAAACCAATAAAGAGAATATTTGTAGCTCAGGATTGAAATGAGGGGTCCTAGTCACTGGTGTATTAAAAGCTTGAAAAGCACCGTGCTTAATCAGATCTTCTGTTTACCAGGTTTTACTAGCCCCCACCTTTTAACATTGAAACGACAATCATATTTTCACGTGATGGAAATGGAATTAAAACCAGCCTGTTATGCAGGTCATGGCGAGGGTTTCCTGCTCCTTCCAAACCCAACTCTCAGAGCATCCTGAAGACTAGCAAGGGACACGGTTACCCATTCTCTCTCCATCCTATTCTGGTTCTTGTCTCCCAAAATTTTTTTGCCAAGAGTCCCAACTGGAGGGTTATTTAAAACTTTGGACTGCAAATTGGTCTTTTTGTTAAGAAAACTGTATTAAATGTGAATAATTTGATATAGAAAAGGGTAAGTAAATATATATATGATTTACAGGATAGCTTTTCCTCCTTTTTCTTCATTTTACACATGCAGGGAAAATAATTCAGACTGGTCAAATGACTAAGGGAGCACTGATTTCCAGTATTTGGAAGTAGAAAGACCGATGCCAGATACAAACAATCCAGGTTAAGGATGGTTATTTATTCATTTTATAACAATGCTATCCTACTCCTTGAACTAATATTTGGGTTTCCATTAAATGAGATTGTGTCTTGCTCCAAAGGGGTTTTTCTGTGAAAAAGGAGACAAACATACATAGATCCAAGAAAATAAATGAAAGGAAGGACAGAAATCAATTTAGTGGCAGAAATAGGGAGTGGCCAGCAAACATTTAACTATTTGTTCGGGCCAGGCTGAAGTGTTCTTCTTAGGTTGGGTTCAGTTCATCTTGCACGTTGTATTCCTTGAAATGATGGGTCTCCAGAGTTTATGGATATACATTGATTAGATAGGATTTAATACCTCATTAGCTTCTTACAGCTTGGAACAAAAGGTAGTGTAAGAATTCCTGGGTAGCTCATTGTAATATGTGGTAGTTTTGTTTTGTTTTTTGCAAGTGTGGGAGGCAGTTCTACTTGCTTTTCCTAGTCCAGCTTTCCCTAACTTTCAGGTTTCCTGTTACCTCCAGGTAACTTGACAATGACAATCAACCTGTTGATTATGAGATTTGAAAATCTATCCTGTCTTGGAAGGCTTGGAGATTAAGCAAGTTATCCTACTACTATTTTTTGTTAAGACTAGTCTGCACATGTTCAGAAGCTGTTCTTTCTTCACTGCCATGTATTTGTGCTGTATTCAGGATTAGGTTTGGAAGAAATTATTTAATTTAGAATGTGATTGTGGTGTGACAACTTATTATTTGCCTGAAATGTATCAGAGTGATGCCAGAATGGTTGGGTGTGGTTTTGGATGTTACATTCAACTGTCCCTGTACTGAAACCTACTGTGAAAGGGGAGTTTATTCTATCTTTACTTCCTTCTCCCCGCATTCCTTATTTTAGATAAAACATAGATCCAGGTTTATCTATCTTACAATCAAATCCTATATGAATTTGCAGAAAAAAATTCTACATTTAAGAAATTTATTTCCAATGCAAAGATACCATACAGAATAAATAATAAAATCATGTTTGGAACTGAGCGAGACTAATACTTAGAAATAAGAAATAACATGTAAAATATAGATCATTATATCAAGGATATATGAGATATCAAGGATTGCTTTTCAAATTAGGGGCACATACTTTTTCCAAATGAATAAGTAACATGGGAAACAGACAATCTCTTTGCTGTTGCATTTTATTTTTTCCAGAAGAAATGACCTACCTTCCCTGTTTTGAAATTGGATTTATCTATGGTCAATGACCAGTGAAGTAGCTGTAACAGTAAAAGAAATACATAGAGGCCTCCAGTACGAGTGATAAAATCTCTATATAGACCTGGCAAAATTTACACAATATAAGCAGTAAACAAAATAGATAAAAAATAGAATTAAGACAAAAAAATGTGATAGTCTTCCAGGATTAGGACGTCTTAAATCTTGGTAAGAACTAGTGATCTCTGTTTATAATAGCAGGGTTATGGTCTAAGAGAAAAACTAGATTTCTGCTTGAAATTGGTAGAAATATAGTGTAAGATTTCATTGAAAGAGTACACTTAAGGTTTGAGATTCATTGTGACCAGAGACAATTTCTCTTGTTAAATGAGTTTTTGTGAAACCTACTGTCAAGGCTGCCAGGGATAGAATATCAAAATGGGCTTTAAATCTTTGCATCCCATGTTCTAAAATACACTGAATTTTCTTTTTCTCTTTAAAGTCAATCTTATCCACCTCTGCACTCTAAAATTTTCTTAATTAATTCTTCAGTTGATAAATTTTCATTTTTCCAATGTTGGGCAAATACAACTCTGCAGTTAGCATGTGTAGAATTAAATATATAGTCTTCCTCATAATTTGCTCCTATTATTTCTAATAAAAATAATTCTGGCTTAAAGTCTATTTGTTTTTTACTTATTTTCTCCAACCATAAATGTATTTTTAACCTTTAGGGCATGTCCACCAGATATGGTAATATGTACCTGGTCTTTGTTTGCATTTCCAACACTAGTTTGAAGTATTTTTTAAAAAATTTGCTAAGCTTTTTTTGTGTGAATCAAAGCTCCGATATGTTGCGTGACATCGCAAGTTTGACATGTCTGGTCTAGATCTAAAGCAGAAAAGAAAAAATAAAGGCTGCAATGTCAGCTTACTCCCATCTTGATACAAAGTTATCAACAGGGATGCCAATGGGCCATCCTATTGAGTCAACCAGTCAATAAACACAAAATCTGGCCAGTGTCATTTGCCCCTATTATTTGGTTCTATTTAATCTGATAAAGAATTCAGAATGTTTGCAGATCGGGATTACTATATATTTAAATGAAGCTGCAAGACAATTGTCAGATTTACATGTTAACAATAATCCTGCAAAGAATTTAGCAAATAATATTAAAATATAACAAATATGAAGCTTTCCTGCAGAGGGGTATGTTTTGTCCTACAAACCTAAAATCATTTTCAGCAGTAATATAGCTTTATTATTTATGCTGTTCTGAACTTATACTGAAATTACACCTTAGGCAAGTTATTGTAATTCTTACCAAGAAAATAGTCCATGCAGAAAGTCCTTTAAGACATATTGCTTTTACATTGTACTGTCCCATCCCATTTAAGCATCTTGATATATATTGTACTTTATAATACTTGAGAGATCCAATTTCTAAGCTTTTAAAATACTGATTTATAGGAATTTTTCAAGAAATTCAGATTTAGTATAAAAGTATTAATGTAGATTTTCAGATATAAAGATTTTATGTAAATTGTACACTATTTCTGATTTAAAATGTTTTTTTTTTACCTGCTGTAAATGGCATTTTGAAAAAGTATTTATTTGGCTGTTTCCAGTTTTGTTGCTTTTATGGTAAGCTGTAAAACAAGTTTCTCCACCTTAATCTAGAGCAATCTTTCAAGTGGTGCAAGATATGAGTGCTTTTTAAAGAAATGAGTAATTTTTCAATCTAGTTAATAACAAATTTTCATGAGCATATAAACTGGAGTGCTGGAAAACAGATAGAAGATCCACATTGCTTATTTGAGACATAGCTTCTAACATTCTCTATTCTATCACACAGGTTCTTATCAAACACCATACATAAAAGCAATTTAATTATATTTGCTGACTGGTTTAATTTTAAATATTCCTGCCCTTCCCCTTTCAGTTCCAAGCTAAAGGTATGTTAAAAACTCATAAATAAAAATACAGACCCTAGGAAATCCCAATATAAAAAATGTTTTACTCCTGCTGCAAAAGGGAACCAAATTTTGTCACATTGTTCATTTGAAGCTCTGTAAGCACATGCCACGATTCCATGCAGCTAAAGGAAATCTGATACATATCCCTAATAGGCACAGGCCAAGCAAATCAGAACTTCCGTGTACCTAGAAGAAAATCATAACTGTGGCTCAATGGATGATTCTTTAGGGCTGGGGTGTCAAACTGCCAGCCCATGGGCCTGATGTGTCATGCCAAAACTGCACCCACCCCATTGCCGGCAATGGAAAAAAGATGCAATGTTCTGACATGTCACGTGACCTTGCCAGTTTGACACCCCTCCTTTAGGGCCTTAAAAGCCCAGGACAGCTGTAGAGTGTCACACCATGGATACCTGTTGTAGAAGTGCCACATTAGCCTATTCAGTCACTATAGACAAGAAAGCCTTCCAAACATCTTAACATGTTGGGGCAATGCTTTTCCTTAAGTTTTTGGAATCTATGGAGTCAACAAATCTAATTAGCATAAAGAGGTGAAGTGTTAAATTCTGGTCAAGATATATGAAGCTCTCTGGCAAAAGTAAGGTTTTTAAAATTGTAATTATTCTTCATAAATATCTATTTGAGATGTTGTATAAAGAACATTGGTAAAGCATGCCCTTTTTAATTTTGACCAAAATGTTGGGGATGCTCAGTAGAACTAATTAACTATTGCTTAAAACTGCATGTTGTATTTTAAATTTTGAAGTATTAGTGACCATCAGTGCTGAAAATATTTTCTTTAATAATTTTGTTTTCTTCCATTTATAGGTTTTAGATTTAAAAGAAAGGCAGGAATACTTGTACTGCTATTTATTACCAAAGGAAAATGAGCACTCAGAAACTCCAGAGGAAGAAAAACAAGTGTGTGATCAGAGTGAAGCTGATTGGAAGGAGAGGGAGAAGCTCACTTCTATCGTCTTGGTGAGAATAAAGAACAAACTTATTCTTCCTTCTGGCAATTTACTATGGCAAACATTACTACATTCACATTTGCTAATCTCCAGTATGGTTTTGGGACAGGGAATAGAAAAATTATAATTAGGACATTAAAGAATTTAAAAATGTAGTTGTACCTATTTATCCAAATTAAGTAACTTTTCCCTTTTCAGTTTCTAAATGTTATATAAGTAGCTGACTTAAAATCTTAAAACATTTCTAAAAATCCAGTTAACTATACATTTAAAAAATCCATGTATTTTCTAAGGGAAGCACATTTGTCCCTATTCTTTTAGAAAGACATCCTACTCCTCTGAAAATGGTCTGTGCTTGTCCAGTGGTTTAGCATTGGTTAATTTGTGTAACAGCTAACAGATGTGATAGTATATAAATTTCTTTCTTAAGAGAAAACTAGCATCCTGAATTGCACCTGTTCAGTCACTATTTAATCCATCAATTTGCCTATGTTTTCACCAGAGAAATGTAGACATAGTGACACATATTGCTTTAAATCCTTTGGAGTCATAATTCATTACAACCAACTTTTTAACTTTGTTCTAATATTTTTAAATTATAATTTGATGAAATAGCAGTTTTTACTAAAGAAGCCAGAGCTGAAGAGTTGGTATGCTGAATACTGGTCCTAATGCAGTCCCCAATACTGACCAATTTCAGCATGACAGATATAGATGGTATGTCTTTTTCTTCAAGATGACAGCAAAAATGCTGTTGTTGTAATTTTCAGTTAGTCTTGCATTCATTGCAGTCCTGTAGCAAAAATGTAGTAATAGACTGAGGACCTTTTTGCAAATACTGTAATTGACTGTTCTAGAAAACCTTTGAATCTATGTTCAGCCTGGTAATATTTTCAAATGACTTACACGATTTACCTTTAACAAACTTTTTTGCAACCTTTAAGGAACAAGCGAACAGCAGAAGTGTGGATTTGACAAACTTTAAGAGACCTATAGATTTGGCCCAAGCTATTAGCCATGTGAGCCTTCACGATGCCATGGTGATGGGATCAGACCACTCTAATGTAACAGATGCAGAGACCACTTTAGAGAGACTGGAAATTCTACCCGACTTAAATACATCTCCAATAACAAGACCAACATGTTAGAATTATTTGCAAATGATCATTGCTGCAGAAGTCTTATAAACCAAGACTGCTTTCTCAGCCTGAATGGAAATGGATATGAGACAATTCATTTCACGTCATTAACAATGGAAGAAAATTTTGATTTTGCAGAAACTTGTCTTTTTGAAGAACGAGATTCAGATTCTGGATTTTCTTTAGACTTAAATTATAGTAATGCATCCCTTGTATTTTCCTGTAACAAGAATGCAAACTTTGGAGCATCAGATTACTCAGGAGCTGTAGGAGATAGTTGCTTACAATGTTACCATACAGAGTATCAAAGCACTTATGACCATAGGACAAAATCACTAGCAGGTATATTCCACGATCACACATACAATCAGGATTTCCAACAGCTGACATTCTCAATGTCAGAGGATTATTTCAGATGGCCAGAAGAATCCAAAAGAACTGAAAATGAAAAACATATAACTCTATAAATGAATACCGGGCAAAAACTCTTTAAGAATTCCATTCTCTGTTAATGATATAGTGACCTTGCCTGTAGAGTCTTTTAATAGCATGTTATCAAACTACTATCTAACAGATAATCAACTGTCACTCATTCGTGATATAAGATGAAGAGGAAAAAATAAAGTCGCTGCTCAAAACTGCCGTAAACGTAAACTAGATGCAATTATGAACCTTAAAGATGAAGTGCATCATCTTCAGATGCAAATGGAGAAGCTTGAGAAACAGAAGGCACAATACAAAAGGTCAATTAGCAATATAAAACAAAAACTGAACGATCTTTGCTGGAACTTTTTCAGTAAATTGAGAGATAACCAAGGAACAATTAATACAAGCCAATGTGCCCTTCAGTGTTGTGGAAATGGTACTATATTAATTTTACTTGAAAAAGCCAACCAGAGCCCCCAAACTGAAATAATGATAGACAAAAATTTAAAATGTTTTAATAATGGTGTTTAAGGATTGCATATGCAAGTCAGTATGAGCATGAATTGTATCTCTTGCCTAATCGTTTTACTGTTTTAAAGAATTTCAACTTTAACATGGACTGAACTCATTTTGTATTTGTTCTGCAGAATTTATTCAGCGTATGCATGTATGCTTACGATAATATGCTAACTACATGACCACAGAAAATCCTATCACCTGCAATTTCATTAGTTAAGTAGCCCAAAACCATCACTGCTTTTCATGTACATTGGGACTATGGATGTTCCCAAGAGTAATCCATACAGGCCTTCACTAGCTATTGGCAGCTGGGGCTTTTCCTAGTCCAGCTCTCCCCTCTTTCTGACATTTGCTTTACAGGTAATCCTTGACTTACAACAGTTTGTTTAGTGAATGTTCAAGTTAAATGTGACTTGCATTTTTCAGAGTTACAATCTTTGTAGCATCCCCCGAATTATGATCCACGTTCAGATGCTTGGCAACTGGTTCATATTTATGACCTCTGCTGTGTCCCAAGGTCACGTGATCCCCTTTTACAACTTTCTGACAAGCAAAGTCAATGGGAAAGCCAGATTCACTTAACAATCAGGTTATTAACATCAACTGCATTCATTTAACAACTGTGGCAAGACAAATTGTTAAATGGGGCAAAACTCACTTAACAATAAAAATTTTGGGGCCAATTGGGCTTGTAAGTCGAGGACTACCTGTACTTTTCATGCTCTGCTTAGTAAGTTATTAAGCATCACTTTTGCACTTTTATATACAGCTTTTGAAATTGAGGGTGTATTATTCATTTCCAGGGTGTAGATAGTCCTCAACTTACAATCTGTAGTTACAGCGGTTATGTGACCAACCCTCACATAACCATAACATCCCATGGTCATGTTATCAGGATTTGGCCACTTGACAACTGGCATATACTTGATTAGTGATCCATTGTCATGTGACTGCATTTGTAACCTGTGCTTCCCCTACCTACTTTTTCACCAATTTATACTATACAGCATCACCCGAAGTGCCCCCCCCAGCAATCATGATGTCCTTGCTTAACCCACGCAGTCCTCAGGTTATGATACTTTATGACTGCATCACTGACATAATTTCCAGTTCCAATTGCTGCTGTAGCCCAAATACTACTACCTGTGCTACTTATTTGGAAACAGTATAACAAAACACGCACATTACAAATATCTCGTATTTCCAGACATTAAGCAACACTATTTTACATTGGGAAAATTCCTGAGGTGTTAATATTACAATTCTACCCATATGTTCCATTGAGCACTGATTTGCAAGAGCTTATATTTATATACTGAATAAGCTACAAGAAATAGCACAGAATTACTTTTACTTTACAGAAAATTGCAATTTACATTTACAGACACCATTATTTTTTTTGGGGGGGGGGGTCCTTCTTCTTAAATCCAATGATAGTCCTGTACACTACTGTAAAATGCATTGTCCAGTGAACTAATACGTATTTGCCTAGATTGTACTGGTTTAGCTAGAAAATTTTTAAAAAGTATTTTATATATGTATCCCTCCTTTTAAAAACAAATAACCATGTAATGACTAATGTATTATCTTGGGATACAAACATTTTTCTTTGATAAATTATTAAGAGTTAATGCTGTTTAAAATAGAAGATAATAATTGGGGAAAAGTATTTTATACAAATCTCCCTCTGGTACAAACATATGCATCATTTCCAATCCAATTAAGATTCCCATATTATTGTTTGGAAAAATATTTACTACATATAAAATACAAAGTTATGACCTGGTTGTTAAGCAGGTCATCATGTGACTGTCCAATTTTAAAAATTTTGTAGCAGTTGCTAAGCATTGAATCTTAAGTCCGAGAACTACCTGTAACAGCCTTGTACTTCGAACGTTAATACAGCCATTTATTTCAATGTCTTTCACAAAATATGCCTTAAGAGGAATTAGGGTTCATAATGGGCATGTGATTATTCTATCATTACCTTCAAAGACCAAGTTAACTATATTCCACTGATTTTACTTTCCTATTTATAAAAATCCAATACTTCAAGCGTACTAAAAAAATTGGCAGCAATATTGTCTTCTATGAAGCTTTAAATTTAACTTTAGTTCTTAAAAAGGGGCAGAACAGAATTATACCAGGTAAACACACTTAATCTTTCCATGCATTATACCTGATGTTTTTGCAGTTGCTATTGTATATATTGCATTATGTATTCAAACATAAGGCTATATACAAATAAAATTACCAGCCATTTTGCCCCTCATTTTTGTAACTAGATTCCATCTAGTTTCTCACCAATTCTCACTGAAAAAGCACCTTTTCAGAATATTGTTGCTTTCTCTAGCAGTATAGGCAATGTTTTTTCTTTGATGCCAAAAAAAAGTAGCATCTGCATTAAGGTGCTAAGGGACCATATGTCCCATTCTGTAGGATGCTGTAGTATACCCCAGTTATATTTGACTTTCAAAGCACTAGTTCTGCAGCTGATTCTTCATTCTTCTATGCTTAGACTATACTATGTCACAGTCACTGGGCTTAAAGGAAGATAGACAGGATAGATATGATCCCAAAAGCTCTGTAGTTAAGCATAGTATTTCCTCTCTTCTTAGTGGTATTTTGCGCTATTTTTTTATCTTACAGCTGTAAATTATTAATACATACAATGATGCTAAAAATATGTAATGTGATACAGCTCACACTGCATTGAAGAACTGTTTTATCATTTGGGATGCGCATAAAATGGTAATATGGTATCAGACTAGGAATATTTTTTAAACAAAAGTTTATTATAACACTTATAAAAATCAAAATATTCACATTAGTCTTGACTTCCTGTCAGTCTGAATTCTAGAAAATGTCTGCCTTCATTTTGTAAACTTTTGAAATTAAATTACAGTAGGCTGCAACTAAAATCATCAACTATAAAGGGTTTAATAAAAATAAGCAAAACCAACTATTTTATGAAGAATAAAGAAATATCTTATTTCTTGAAGTTTCTGTGGTTGAGCACTTCTTCATTAGTTACCTGCAGCATTGGCACCTTCCTGCCAAAGAAAAAGAAAGTATCTGAAGAAGTTTATCAGAAGCCTCTTTGTATCACAGGAAAAAAATCAGCAAATGGCTAGAAAACAGATGAGGCAAGGCCAGGCTTTTAAGTGTGCGTGTTGTACAAAGCAACATAGAACTTTTAAAGGGCAGTATAAGAGTATTTAAAATTGTGAAGATTTTGGAATTAAAGTATTAATTTATATTAAATAGAATATCCCTCTAAAACAAGATTCCATGTCCACCATATTGAAGGTAACTACAGCAAGCATTCAATAACAGAATTTTACATTGTGCAGCATTAGAATATATGCAATGAAAACACTTGTGAGCTAGTTGAATTTGAATACCACATTATACTTCAATTCACTAAATTCATATTGCTATACTGCTGACAAGACCAGCGAGGGGAAGGATTCTGTATGCAAAGACTGCATAAACTTCACTTTCACACATAAAATTCAAACACAAGTTCTATAATACTAAAATATGTTGTACCGAACAACAGATATCCCACTGCCCTATTCTGAAGAGCCATAGTTTTCAACTTTAGGTTTTATAAATAAGAATGGGTAAAAACAAGGTATTGTACCATTTTAAAAACATACCATTTTAACTACCCATAGCAGGGATGGAACCCTTGCAAATCATTAATGGACACTTGGCTGGTTCATTTGCTCAGCAGGTCTATTGCTTGTCCATGATGCATAAAGCTAGATTCCAGTAGGAAAAAGATAGGTTAAGCAGCTGAAGTTAAAAATAAATCAAAACATAACAGCAAAAAGTAAAACCAACAAACAAATGAAAACAGAACACCCAAACCCCCAAATCAAAACAAGAATTATTAAATTTTCCAGTGCACAGTTGTTAACTTGGTTCATTGCTATGTTAAACTAGATAATATAACCACTATACTGAAACAGTACACTGTCATATATTAGTTTCTTGTTTTTGGAATATTAAAAAAGGAAAAGTAAATAAGATCTTACCTAAAGTAGTTTAACTGAAGCTTAGAACTATTTTGCTCTAGAACCCTCAGCTCTCGTTGGCATCCTTAAAACTACTGTAGTTAAAGCTTTGCGGAAGTACAGCACAGCTTTTAAGACTGGCTGAACTTAATTGCCGTTCTCAAGAGTTCTTTTGCACTAGACCTGTGTCCCTGGAAGAGTACCTCGCTGGGGATATTTCCTTTACTTGCCATTGAAGAAGCAGCATCTAAAAGATCTAAAAAGGTGTTTCTCTTTGCAGAGATATCCCTTAAGTTATCTAGATATTAATCTGGTAATTTACAAAAAAAAAACATTATCTAACCAACATTTTACATGTACAACAACAACTTTATAATATTTGTGGGACCTTCTACTACCCACTCCTTGCCTTAATTTACAATATATTTTAAATAAATCTATAATTACACATCATTTCCTTTAGAATTATTTTATTAAATCATAAATGTACAACAGCTTCTTAACTCTACACACGTACTTAAAATTTTTTCAAAGGAAAACGTTATGTCTTATTACACCATGATCCTGGCTAATAGCTTTTCAAAACTTTAGAGAAATTTTTTTAAAAAAGGTTTCACATGTCACCTGAAACTTACAAATTTAACATTATCAAAGGAATGCTTCTACACTCTTACAAAGACCACTAAAAAGAAACAACAATGAAAAAGCTAAGAAACTGTCTCAAAGGCATTTTTACAATCCTTCCTCCACAGTAAGGTATGATATTAAATAATCCAATCCATTCACAAAATGGCTCTCTGCATCTGCTCTGGTGTCTTCTGCCATATCACTGCATATTTATGCATGACTGAGATAAGTGTTTCCTTAACAAAGTTATTTCGAAAACCTGAAGCTGTTCTGTTACCTCTGGGCTCATCCTCTCCTATTTATACAGTGAAGCCTGTTTCAACAGAAGTAAAGAGTAAAAAAATAGGTTATGAAGTTATCCCAATTTTTTTTTTAAAGGAAAGATAATATGACCCTAAAAAGCTTTTACCCCTGCAGCTAAAACTAAGGAAAACTGCAATTTTAGTATTAAATGTACACTCACCCATGAAAAGCTTACAGAAGTTCAATAACGACTCCTCCCTCCATATCCCCCACTTCCACCACTTCCTCCAGGACCATAGTTTCCTGTGTTAGTAAAAACAGAAATCAATTAGTAACAGAACTTTTTTCTAAACAATTTCTCTTTATTTTGTGAAATCTGTTAGAAATTGACAGATTGCTGCTTGCAGAAAAGCAAGCATTGTATTTGATTATTACCAAATTTACCATATCTAGTTATCACTTGTAAATTACACTTTCATTTTAGAATCATTTTGATACTTATGTCACATGTGAACATTTAATTCTAGGAATACATATTATATTCCTAGAACAAAATGCTTTAAATGAACATATCACTTATAATTTTATTTAACGAAGGAAAATTTTAAAAATAACTGAATACATAAAGAATGTTCAGGACTGTCCAACTCAAGTTATTTTCTACTAAATAAACTTACTATAGGGGTACGAAATATACATAGGATGCTGTTTAAATCTTGGAAGGAATATTATTTCAGAGGACTGAGTTAACCTATTGGCTTATATTAACAGAAAAGAGCAGCTTAGAAAAATTGATCTATCTCACTTGCTCTTTTTGTTTGTTAGTTAATCAACAAAGGACAAGAAATACGAAAATACTTTTTTGTTCAACATGTTACCTCCACCATATGGTCCTCCCATATTCCTGCTTCCACCAAAATTTCCACTTTTCATTGGACCATAGTTTGAAGGCTGTTGGTTATAGTTTCCAAAGTCATTGTAATTCCCACCTCCATAATTGCCTGCATAAAGAAGTATTTTGTTCATTTGAAAGATATTTTTACTGTGAATACAAGATGTGTAAACAAACATGCAAGACACCTGTTTTTAACAAGAAAGCAAAGAAAACTGGCAATATAAGAAAGGTTTGGGGATTGTTTTTTGCATTTCTATATGAACTTGCATTATACCATTATTATATTTTGTACTATTAGTATTTTATTTTACACTATAAATATTTTTACTATATGCTAACTTTGTTCTTAGTACTTGAGTTTTACATATGTAGAATGAAAGAATATAAAATATATATCTTATAAAAATAATTTATGGACATTGTTGACCATTAACTCCAATAATTTTTTGAGAAAAGCCTATTTTTTTTGAAATTTAGGTATGATTCATAAACATTTCTTAACAAGTTTAGGAAACTCTTCTCATTTCAAATGTATGTTTAAATAACTTAATCATTACCTCCTCCATAGTTGTCATAGCCACCTCCATAGCCCCCACCCTGGTTGCCGTACCCAGGTCCTCCTCCACCATATCCACCTCTTCCTCCTCCATAACCAGGACTGCCTCCAAAATTGCCGCCTGTTACAAGATGAAACTACGTAACTATACTTATAATATATTTACATAAAGTGAATTCATCTTAAGATAGCAATTACATGATCATAATCTGTTATAAGTCGAGGACTACCTGTACTTTATTACATTTTGGTCAAGTTTTTGACACCTTGCTAGGCAACTGATGGTACTCGAATATTGCCATATCCTAAAAGTGGTACAATTAGTAAAAAGGTAAAAAGCCCAACTCTAATCCATGTGCAGGTCTTTCTACCTTGTCTTGTAATGCTGAGCATGTATCTTTCCATGGCTTTGTGTCACTCGAAGCTTTTGTATTGATTGTGAGATTACTGTCCATGTTTCTCCAACATATATTAGAACAGGTAGCACACATCAACTGAAAACTTCTTTTCAGGCATAGGGGGAGATTGTTCTTGAAAATTATGCTTAGCTTGCCGAATGCCTGCCAACCACATGGTCTACTACATCTAGTTTTTTTTCCATATATATATATATATATATATATATATATATATATATATATATATATATATTCTTTCTTTGGTGAATTTATTAAACATAACCTGGCTCTTTTTCAGGTTTAATTTTAAGGCAAATGGTTCTCCTGCTTTCTGCAGCTCTTGTATTATGTCTTTGTAACTCTTCTGCATCTAGAGAATATCATCTGCAAATCTTAAATGACTTAAATAGGTGCCATTGATTTTTATTCCATCTTTTGCCCAGTCTAGTTTGCAAAATACTTCAAGGAAAGCCGAGAGAAGGATAGGTGATACTCGTACACCCTCAATGATTTCCATTTTAAAATCAAGGGATTGTCACCATTTTTTTTTCATGTATTAATTGTAGTAAATTTATGTTAGTATCTATGTCTTGGTTCAGCAATTAACTATTGTTTGAATACTTGTAATATAAAATAATACATTATATTATTATAATGATATAATACTTATAATGTACTTTACATTAATTTGGGTATCTTCAAGTGAACCTTAACTTCTAGTACCTGGACCAGTCCATGCCATTTTCTTTGCAACAGTCTAAGTTATCTACAGTTTGCTTCCTTTCTAGGGTTGACTATGAATTACTGGCCCATTTGGCTGGCTTTATGCCTAGATTAGGACTAGAATGTACAGCCTTCTGGTTTCTAGCATGGTGCCTCAACTAAGCCAAACTAGCCCTCAATCAGTATTTACACATGCTATTGTGAATATTCAACATTTAAATAGAAAAACAGACATAAAACTGGTTGAAGATCCCAATACTTTTAACATTTTAGTTAATTTTTAGATGCAAACAAAACATCCACTACATAATTTGTATTATTAATGTAAATGATATTGCAATTTCATTATTAATTTTTAAAAATCTTTTCAGCATCTCAAAATAAAAATATTAATTAGACTAACCTCCTGGTCCCCCTCCATATCCATTGTATCCATCACCAAATCCACGACCACCTCCATAGCCATCTGTGGAAGAAACTATTTTTAAGTTAGCTTCATTATAAGTCAAATCCTTATAAAACAATGTTCAAATCTGCCTGACTGCCAGAAGTTACTTTTTGCTGTTAATTTTATGGAGTCCTGGACCAAAAATATGCAATAGAAGATATTAGACCAGTAGTAGCGAACCTACGGCACGGGTGCCAGAGCGGGCACTCAGAGCCCTCTTTGTGGGCACGCGTGCTGTTGCCCCAGTCCTAGGCCTTCAGCTGGATTTTATAAAACCTTTTCGCTTTAGGCCTCTGCCGCTGTGTGCAAAAAAAAAATAAATTTCAATCAGTCAATTTCAACCTCTCGCGGGGGAAAAAAAAGATCTCGCAGAAGTTGGAATTGATTGATTGAACTTTTTAGTCCCACCCAGTCTGCCGTTACCACTGCAGCCACGCCCAACCCTGGGCCACACCCACCCAGCACCCGACTATGCGTAAGTGGATTTTGGGTTGCAGTTTGGGCACTCCAAAAGGTTCACCATCACTATATTAGGCAGTGAGTGGTTTTCTAACTTACCAGATCCACCTCTGAAGTTGCTTCCTGGTCCTGGACCAAAGTTTCCACCACCTCCACGTGAATCTCCAAAGCCAAAATTACCTGAAAATATATTTTAACAAATTACCACTATTATTATTTTAAAAAATAACTAATTTAAATATAATGCAATTCAAACATACCTCCCCTTCCACTCCTTGAACTCTGAACTTCTTGCATTTCTTGCCGTGATAAAGCCTTTCTTACTTCTGCATTATGTCCATTGATTGTGTGGTATTTCTGCACTGTTAAAATATAAAATTTTAGACACACAATAAAAACTTCAACTTAACTTTACATAGTAAACAAGATTAGCAAAATGGAAATGAACTGTAATCAGAAGATGCAATTCAATTGTATCACTGGTTACAACATCAAGTGTGAAGAGCTTTTTGAAATAATTGCAGGAAGGATGAGCAAATCTCATTTGAAGAAAGGTGGGTCTACCATTCTACCCCTATATGTTAATCTACCCACTATATGTTAATTTTACAGTTATTCAGTCCAAACTTCAGTGATTTTCATAAATAAGGTAGTAGGCATTTTTTCTGCAGTAATGATAAATTTGTTAGTATACTCTAACATGCAGCCAATATTTATTCTGAAATTTCAGAGCTTTATATATCAATTTGGATAGCTTCAGCAATTATGCAGTCTTTGGCCGCTATGCCACTATTTTTCAAAATACAGATAGTCCTCTGCTTGCAACGATTTGCATAAAGATCAAAGTTACAACAGCAATGAATAATGATTTATGATCTATTTTCACTTATACTATTGCACTAGCTCCATGGTCACATAACCAAAAATTTGAATGCTTGGTAAATATATCAATAGTCCTCAATTTACAACAGCAATTGAGCTCAACATTTTTGTTGTTAAGCAAGATTGCTATCAATGAGCTTTGACCCATTTTGATTTTTCTTGCCAGTTGTTAAATGAATCAATTTAGTTACTGTAAATGCCGGCGTATAAGGCGACTTCCACGAGCGCTGAAATCGGCGCCAAAGACGGGGGTCGTCTTATACGCCGGAAATACTGGTAGTTTCCGGCGTATAAGACGATGTTCTAGGAATGCGGCTCGGGGATAAAGATAGGGGTCGTCTTACACGCCGGGTCGCCTTGTACGCCGGCATATATGGTAAGTAACATGGTTGAGTCAAGCCTCATCAATTGTCCAAATAGTAAAATATAGCCACTTTATCGAAACACTGCTCTTAAATGCTAACCAATTCATTTTAAGTGTTTCTTCTATTACTTACCTCTGATTGTTATCTATCTTTGCAAGGTAACAAATTTGCTTTCAGACTAACTAAAAATAACTACTAACAGTAATACAAACATAACTGACTTTAATATTCACACACACACACATTTCCCCAAAAACAAGATCTGGGGTTTTTTTTGTCTCCCAAAAAGGAATGAGCATCAGGTCTTATTTTCAGGGGGTGTCTTTTCCATGGTCTCACCTCACCGTCCCAGCAACGACAGCCCCAAGCCAGTTCACTTCTTCTGGAAATGCCTCTGCAGCCAAGAATTGAGCTATGGATTGAATCGATAGCTTGGTTCTTGGCTACAGAGGCCTTTTTGGAAGGCCTCTGACAGTGAAATGCAGGCCAGAACTCCATTCTCAGCTGTAGAGGCATTTCTTTCTGCCACAGAAGTGGGCCAGCGAGGCAAGTGTCAATTCATGGGAGGCCTGGCTGCAACGGTAAAGAGGTGCAGGGTACATGGGGCAGCTCCACCCCTGCCCTAGTTTGATTTTTAGGCATGCGCCTTGCCCCAAAACTAGGGCTTATTTTCGGGCTAGGTCTTACTTTTGGAAAAAAACACACATATACAAATTTAACTGCAATCTCACATACTTTAAAATATTTCTGGATACTTACACACAATTTTATCCACAGGATCATGGTCATCAAAAGTTACAAATCCAAAGCCTCTCTTTTTGCCAGATTGTCTGTCTGTAATTATTTCAATTGTGTCGATTTTTCCATATTCTGAAAAGTAGTCTCTGAGGTGATGTTCTTCAGTGTCTTCTTTAATTCCACCAACAAATAATTTTTTTACAGTAACATGAGCTCCAGGCTTCCCAGATTCCTTAAAAAACAGTATACTGAAACTTTTTAAAAACTGAAAAATGCTAAGATAAGGGCAGACATCATCTTTCCCCCTGGGGACAATTAATAGTGTTATAAATTAAGGGGTTGATTATTGGATAAAGGAGAGAAATTTGAAAGTGATTTATTCCATGGACTTTGCAAATCAGGGATTTCATTGGTAAAGATCTGAAAAAAATATTTTGCATTCCAACCATAGAAAATTTTTCAATCTCAAAGCAGCCTTGTTTCAAAGTCGGGACAGTGACAGTTCACATTATCTTTGAAAAAAATGCAAAATAATTCTGGTCATGAATTGCCCTCACTGCTCTAAAATATCACTAAATTTCTTCCTAATATAATGAATTAGCCCCTTTGTCACCATTACTACTTCAACTCTATTTTTATTATTTTACTGAACATTGTATTCTTTAACTTAATTTCCATTTTCTTACCTAATGGATGTGATGATATGCAGTTCATAGACTACTGTTCTCCTATGAAATATATTATCTACAGCTTGGAATCTAGCAACATCTGAAGGGCTTAAAATGCTGCCCTATTTATGCTTTAAAAACCACTGCCTTTATAAAAGAGCACAGTAGAAAAGCATTTTGTAATGCTAACCCACAACTCAAAACGTACCTCTCTGGCTACAGCCCTTTTTGGTTCAACTACTCTTCCATCAATTGAATGAGGCCTGGCAGCCATTGCTGCATCGACTTCAGCCATAGATGAAAATGTTACAAAACCAAATCCCCGTGAGCGTTTGCTTGCAGGATCTCTCATTACCTACAAGATGACAAATTTAAAACAATCTTCTTGACTTATTGAAGTATTATTGACAGTCATTTCTAACATTTATACTATTTATCATTGATAAAACCACAATTTTTAAAAATGAAAAATAATTGATTCACCCTCAATATTTTTTAAAACAAAACTATTTTAAATGAAAAACTCAGCAATGTATATATTATAGTAATATCTACATTTCTATTGTTTAAAATAGATAAATTGTATACACTTGCAAATCACTATTAGTCTATTACCTCAAATTACTTCTTCAATACAGTTACTTGGGTATTTATATTAAAATTACTGTGCTAAGAGCGTACATGAATATTGGGTATAAGCATCATTTTCAAGAGAAATTGTCTTTTTATAGCTCAAAATGTCACATAATATTCTTAAAGGTAACAAAGCATTTATATATGAGAGCCAGTTTGGCTTCTAGTCCTGCCTTGGGCAGGAAAATCAACTAGGGTAACCTTGGGCCTGTCACTCTCTCTCTAACCAATCCTACCTCACAGGGTTGTGTTGTGGGGTAAATAGAAAGGAGGAATATTAGGTATGTTTGATTCCTTGAGTTACTTATAAAAAAAATCCAATAAATAAAATGTATTTCATGAGCCCTGAATTTCTATACTCTTATAACCCTTGACCTATCTATGCAGCTATAGTAAATACTAAAACAAAAACCAACCATTATTTTGGCTTACCATCCTCTTTATTTTCAAAACTTGGCAGAAGTACACAAATTGTTATTCTACAGCCACAGGATTAGACAACCTAAATCAAGTACTCAATATATATATATATATGTAGGTCTTTGGTTGTTCAGGTTTTCTCCCGCGTAAAATTGGAAGTGTCTTGGCAGTGCCAAGACACTTCCAATTTTACGCGGGAGAAAACCCGAACAACCAAAGACCTACATACAAACACCCGCGAAAACCTCAGAAAACATATATATATATATATAAACAAACAAAACTTACCACACAATCTGTTAATTTTCCCCATTGCTCATAGTAGTTTCTCAAACTTTCTTCTGTTGTTTCAAAGCTTAGGCCGCCAATGAATAGTTTGCGGAACTGCTCCTTTTCCCTCTGATTAAAAAAAAAAATCTGAAGTTTTACACCTTTCACAAAATTGGATTTTTTTTAAAAAAAAATGTTGAACAATGTAACTAAAACATAGGATAGTCTACATCATCTTGGGTGTTCTGTAAAGTTAACAATCTGAAATAATAATCTAAATTGTAAAGAAGATTGAATCTAAGTTGAAAAGTAAATTGATCTGTTTTGGTTGGCAATCCATAGAAATCACAATATTTTTAGTATTAATGTTAGTTTTGCTATACACTTTTGCTATATTTTTAATGCAAAAGCTGACAGACTGTAATAACTGGTTTTTTACAATATAGAATTGAAGGAGAATAAAGTAGCTGGTATCACTTAATTGAAATAAAAATGAATTGCAAGGTGTCATTACTTCCAAAAAATGCAACTAAATTGAAAAGAAAATTTTCTCCTTTATTTAAATTATAATTTTATTTATTCATTCAAATAAATTCATTCAAATGTCTTGAGGTGTGTAAAGGTTTGATGGAGAAAGTTGGTTAACTCTTCAAATATTTATTGTAATAGATATTTCAATAGAAATTTGTGAGTAGGCCCTTCTGACTAAAGGGAGTTTTTAAATAACAATGTAGCCAGCAGTTAAGTTAAAAAAAAACTCCCTGAAGTTTAGATTAATATTACGTTTTCAAAGGATAAAATTTAAGTGGCATTACTATCTAAAGCATCTGCTTAGATATGTAACCAGAAAATCATGGGAGAACTGATCATTTTTTCTACTTGAGAAAATGAATTCTAAGTAATCAAATACAAGACAATTTTATTTTATTTAAGGGTTGTTGTAGGCAGTTTCTAACAAATATTTTTTAAAACCCTCAAAAAACCTTTAATAAACATTAGAAAAAGTATTACCAAATTTCTGAATTTTTATCACGATGGACTAAGTCCCCAATACAATATTCTTCAATAGGTTATCCTTAAATTAGTCCATTTGTAACCCCGTTACGAAAATCTGATTTTTTAAAAAAATTGTAGCAATACTAAAATTTCATACATAAAGCATAATATAGGCGTTACAAATCTAATTTCTAATTGAATCATAAATAACTATAGCAGTTGGTTTGCATAACTTTCTAGACTAAAACATGGCTGCGTAAAGTGTATGCAATCCTCTGCATAAGTAGACGTTAAAATATATGATGGTATATTTAGATACCGATTTATCCCGCTACACGCGTTAAGAGTGTGATTCTGAAACAAGAAATCATTTGAAAAAGTAGGTTTAATCAGGTTCACCTCTGAAGCGGTTAAGATTCAGGTTCACCTCTGAAGCGGTTAAGATTGAGACCAGCCGAGTCTCCGCCTCCCAACCGAAGATGGCTCCGCCATGTGACGGTTCCGACAACCCGAGCTCCTCAGCGGACTATAAGAGAAAATGGCGCCGACGAACACCGACGGAGGGAGGAGACTCGTTCCCAGGAGGACGAGTACATTATTCCCTTCTGCGCATGCGTTCTCCCCTCCCTTTGTAGTACCGTATTAAAGAGGCATCAAAGTTGCGCTTTCGCTCTAGACTTGTTCATTTAGGACCTGTATGTCCATTTTTCTCCCGTCCTCATATGTAGAGCGAAATATTACTGACTTCCAGCTCTCTACCGGATTTAAGGAGACGAATTCGCCATAATTGTCCCCTCCCCTTTTTACCAACGGCCGCCGGCCCTTCCAGAACCTTCCTCTCCATTAACGTCTTTCCTTGTAAGACACCAAGTCCCGCCAATTGCGCCACCAAGTGTTCCAACGAACAAGTTATGCGTCATCTCTAGATCCTACGCTAATGGCGTATTGTGCCGCATTTAGGTACCCTAACAGGCACCAACGCGCCATCCAAATAACCGTTTCCGCAACAATCCTACGAACTTTTTATTTCCACATTGTATCAGCTACACATTTCGCGTAATGCAGTTTCAGAATACGACTCTATCACAAATGGCGGCCTTAACTCTTGCGTATTTGAATATTCACAGAACCCTCTCCTATTTTAGGAGGTATAATAACCACGTGAAACATTGTCGTGTATAGAATGTTGAGTAAATACATATAATTATTTGTCGGATTGATACTATGCATTGGAAACAATGATGTAATTAAACATATAAATTACTTCAGTGTATTATTTATGTATATTTATATACAATAAAATAGGTGTATGTATTAAATATATTATTAAAGCTGCAGTAATATCTCGTTATCAAGAGTTTTCTTAGTCTACGGATGCAATCGTCCGAAAAATCACATCTGGACCCTTTTCTATAATTTCCGGGAAACCCTCAAAAGCAACAAAAGGCCATCGCCAATTTTTTCCCCGTAAATTGCCTAAGAAGATCGGCGAACAATAATCGCGCCAAAATGTTATGGATATAATGAAGACTCCATTTTTCCCTTTAACCTACCATCTTATTTGCTACCTCGATTATGGTAAATGAGTATTTTTTGACATCTAAATATACTACGGAAAAAAAGCCGCCTCTCCACTGTTTTCCTATTTTGCATTTTACTGTATCTGTTGGCCAGATAAGTGCCTGAGGGAAACGTTCAGCGAACATGCAACAGGCCGCCATTAAAATGCTCATGGCTTCGCCTCCCTCCCTCCACAATCTTCCGCGCCGCTTTTAAAAGCGTTGGGAATCGAATTCAGCATCCCCCCCCCTTCGCCCCTCGCCCGCCATTTTCTCTTCCTCCTGGCTTTGGAAGACTTGCCCGCCCACCGCCCGCGAAAGAACCCGTTAAAGACACAATGAATGTTTGGAGAGGGGAAAAAAAGTCGGCCATTATTAAACCACGCCATCCGTTACCTCACTCACCCAATCGCTCTCCCGGTCTCCGCGAGGCATTTCGGACGGCAATTAAAAAAAGGAAATAAAGGAAGAGGCAAATGTTTTTGTCCTGTGGGCGGTGTAGTTGCCGAATCGACCCTCCAGGCTCGCCTGTGTCCGACGATCTCCTCGGTAGGGCGCGGCGTACGCGACGGCGGCGGCAAGAAGAGTGCGCGGAGCGGCCAACGACTCGGCTGGCGACGCAATGAGGGCGGGAACGAAAGAGGGTGGCGTTTGCTGCGCGCAGCTGCGCTATTCGAGTCTGGCCGTCCCGCCTTCTGACCAGGTTGCCGCAGCACTAGCAGCAGCTCCGGGCGGGGCTGCCTCCGTCGCCCTCTCACTTCTTTCCCCGCCCCCTCATATGTTGCTGCTGCTTCAGAGCGCGCCGGGAGCCAGGAGACTACAGGGGAGCTGAATCGTTGGGCACCATTGAAGTCCGTATCTTTCGCTCTCCTTTTCCCTCTCGTTCCTTCACATCTTTCCTAATTCGGTGATAAATAGTAACGTAGGAGAGAACTGGTGGGGAATCTCTTTGTTTGTATCTCTCTCTCTCTCTCTCTCTCTCTCTGTGTGTGTGTGTCTGTCTGTCTGTCTGTCTGTCTCATGCTGAGCTTACATTTTACGTAACTCCTGAGAAATGCTGTCAGGCGTGGCCTCATTTTGCTCTCCTCCATTTTCTCTCGCGGCTCCCTCTCCCGGGCGGATTGACAAGCTTGAAAAGAGGCGCGGGGTTTCCCAGTACGGCCTTTCGACTTCTTGCCAGGCCTTCCCCCTGCTCGGCTCTTTCCTTCTAGCGGGACGGAGCGGTGGCGAACGGTCGAGCTCCGAGATTGGAACTGGCATATTTTTACTGCTGAGGTGCAAACACTTCTGAGACCAATGAGGCATTATCACTAGTGACCGGCAGATCTTTTCCCTCCCCCGTTTCCTGCATGTGGGCAAGGTCCAGGCCGCGTGCAAAGCAGGATTTGGAGGCGTGGACTTAATTTTTAAAAAGGACTAACCGCTGAGGCTTTAGCATTTCAAATGGATGCTGTTGAGCATGCGGGGCAAGACATGAAATGTCTTTCGCAGCTTATCGATGTGGGGTATAATGCCAGGCAGTCGTCCTGAAGGACCGAGGTGGTTAGGTGTTTCCTACCTCTCCTTCGTTTGCTTACGGAATTCTCATCCGGGATCATTTCCTACCCACCCGCCTTCGCTGGCGTACCTCGTGCTTAGGGCGCCCTTTACAGTTTTTCTTTACGGCAGGCGTTTCTTAATCACGCCTCCATTTATTCTAAATGTAATCCCGGTGCAAAATCCCAGTGACTTAAAACAGCTGTGAAATAGTATCTATGAGATGCCAGGCTTTGTGTCTTGGGTTTTTTTTTCTTTACTGAATCTCATGACTTATGTTCTTTATAGGTTTGCAAAGAAATCATTCCAAATTTTAAATTGTAGAGAAGTTCGAGGACAATCAAGGTGCAGACGTCCAATGCTTATAAATTAAGTTCAAGCTGTATTATGATTACCATATTTATGATGCACAGTTGTTTTTATACCTTATGCAACTATAATTCTGAAATCCTTTTCAATGATTATTTACTATACATAAGTCGAAATTAAGCGTTCTACAATATTGGATCTTTCTCTTGAAAATATATTTTATCACAGCACATTGTCTTAAGATTTTGAAAATAAGGTTTTCCTATAAACTTGTGTTCAGTATTAGATTAGCCGTGTATGATATACAAGGTATGTCTTAGCAAACCCCAAATAATGCCTAAATAATGGAAACAGAACTTCAGCCTTTGTTAATGATGTGTGTGCATATGTCTGTGAATAGAAAAGAACCGTATTTGTATTGAGATGCCTTCCTTCATATAATGCAACATTCCTTTTGTCATGCATTTTTCTAGTAAAAGTTCAGCAAGTCTTCAGTAAAAATGGCCACCAATAAATCTACATTGGTAAGTTCTTGACTATCTAAAATATGTAAGGATTTTACCATCGTATTTCTTCAGATTTATTGTTGGCATCTCTATGCAAAAAGATACATCCACATCTCTCCTATCCAGCATTATTCTGTTAAAATACTCGAATTAAAAATAAGGCATCTCAAAAATATGCATATTCTGGCTCGAACAAATTTGCTATATTAGTTCACCTCTGCATGAGAAAGCATATAATCCAAGTTTATTAAGGAATAGGATTTAAGTAATGTGATTATATACTTAATTTGTTTCTCTTATATTGAAAAGCAACAATTGTGTAAATCATAGGTAAAATCTCCTGTTGATGACTTTGTGGAATGTCCATGCAGTTTTCTTGGCAAGAAAACAGAAGTGTTTTCCCCTGCTGTACTCTTACCATAGATATTTGTTTGACTTCCCAGTCTAGCCTACAGCCCAGGAGGTTTCTCATCCAAATATTAAGGCCTGATTCTGCTTAGCTTCTGAGACTAAATAAGGTCAGCCAAGCATTGTTATATGCTGAGTTGTGTAAGTTATTATACAGGCTATAAAACTAAAGGAACAGATGCAAAACTAACCAAGTTAATGTAAAATATCTTGATTTAAATAAATTTGTGTTTCAGAAATTTTTGCTGAGATTGGGGGATAGAAGAGAAGAATCAGGTTCTTGCTATTTAGTTTAGTTTCAAACCTGAGCACAGTTCCTGGGACTGTATCTCCTTTTCTATCTCCTAAGAATTAGATCATGGGAAAATGATGTATTAGAAGAGTGAGCATCACCAATGATGAGAATCAGTGGGCAAGGTCTATTAGCTGGTAGAGGAGAATATTTGTAGCTCGATTGAAATGAGGGGTCTTTGGTGCTCTTTGAACTTGGTTGTTTTTTGCAGACATTTCATAGCTAAATTAGGTAACATTATTACTAGTGAAGAGGTAAGGTTTGCTTTCAATTTAAATTCTAGTGGCTTGCGCTGTCCATGTTTTCTATAGTCTTAGACCTTCCGTTTGTTGGGCTGTTTACTGTTGCCTTGTTTGGCAGTTCCTTGATTGAGGTATTGTTTGTTTGATTGTTGGTTTGATATTAATCTTTGAATTAATTTATGCTCCTCTGAGTGCTGCTTGCTGATGGGAAGATGTCAGTCTTTTGATCCCCTTTTCGGCTTGTTGATAGTCTCTTTTGCATAGTATGTAGATATTGTTTATATCTATGTATCTACTGATCGCTAATTTGTCAGCGCCAGGCTTCTAGAAATTCCCTAGCATTTTTGAATTTGGCTTGGTTTAGGATGGTCACAGTTAAGTCTGCCATTTTTTCCCCTTTTCCTTAGCTGTGCTACTCCCTCTTATTCTGTTGGCTTTTGAAAGCCAATAGAATAGACTCTATTCAAGAGACTCTATTCTATTGGCTTTCGAAAGCCAATAGAATTAAACTCTCTTGAATAGAGTCTAATTCTATTGGCTTTCAAAAGCCAATAGGAATTGTCCAGGCTGTCTCTGCCCTGCTGAGCCCGCCAAAAGTCCCATTCTGCAAACGGTGCTGCAGGTTGTCTGCAGCTGAGCTTTCTGGACGTTTCCACCCCTCCCTGCTGAGCAACTACTAAATGTAAGTAAAAGAGGACCAGAGGTGGGAGGCCGGCGGGCGCAGGGAGGGTTGTTGGCCTGCGTGGGGCCCGGCGGATACCTTACCTCCCTTGAGCTGGACCAGCTGGTGGCCCAGCTGGTGGTCGCCCTGCGCCATCGCTGCCACTTGCCCGCTACGCCTCAGCCGGTGCAGGGGGCGGCACCATGCATGCACGGCGCTCCTGGGCCGAGGCGGTTGCTGGGCGACGGCCTGCATGCACCCTCGGCCTGCCCAGCGTGCGCTCCAACTGCAGGAGAGGAGGCGGAGTATGTGCGCCTCCTCCTGCTCCGCCCGCAGAGAAATACAGGTAGTCCTCAACTTAGGACCACATGGTTGGGGGTCGTGGCATTAGGAAGGTTGAGAACCACTGACATAGACTGTAACGACTGCAGCAGCCACTATATCAGACAAAGAGGCAGAAAACTAGCAGAACGCATCCATGAACATCAACTAGCAGTCAGAAGACATGATTAAAACTCCTTAATTTCACAACAGACTTAACATAGGTTCAACTGGGAAACTGACCATTCTAGAACAAGCTATGGGCAAAAACACTAGAGAATTTCTAGAAGTCTGGCTTGTTGACAAATTAGCCATCAATGGACACATAAACAGTATCTGTATACCGTGCAAAAGACAATCAAGCCAAAAAGGGAACAAAAAGGCTAAAATACCTTCCCATCAATAATCAGCAGCCAGAGGAACATAGATTAACTCAAGATTAACAACAAACCAACAATCAGGTTAACAATACCCTAATCAAGGAACTGCCAAACAAGCCAACAGTAAAGAGCCCAACTAAAGACCCCCTCACCAACATAGACAGGGCAAGCCATGCTCCTTAACTATCACTGATGATGTTGGGTAATGAAACATTTGCAAGAAAACAACCAAGTTCAAAGATCAGCAAGGTCTTCTCTATTAGCTGATTCTTAGAATTTGTTCCAGTATGAATTTCCTTTGATTTGAAGGGCTTTAATCCCAGAAAAATATGAATAGGACTGTAGTTGTCATGGGCAAATCCCCATTAAAAACAGTGAAACTTAATTCTTTGTGGAATGGTTTGGTTTGTTGGGTGCGAGAGCTTGCATTAAAAGGATAAAGCAAGTTTAGTCATTTCAGAATCCATATCACTAGAATATAGTATATGCTTATTAGTGTCTTTAGTATAATATTGCTATCTGTTTATAGGGAAAAGTTGCTTCAGATGTAGAACAAGGAAATAAAGATTTGTTTTTAAGACTAACTTTGTATCTATTTTCTTAAAAAGACATGCTTTGACCAATAATTTTAGAACACCTTTAGAACTAGTATTCCTAAAAATGCTGTTTATATTAGAGAAAAATATATTGATTCTGGTGGCAGTATTTTCCACAAACCCTATGATGTACATCTTTTATTTTGATACATAGCCTAGAAGATTGGATGATTTTATTAGTAATCTTGTATATTCACTAGTACATCAACCAAAATAGGATTGTGCTTTTGTATGTAGAATAAAAACCTTAGTCTAAAAAAGATAGCACTAATGTTGCCTCTAAATCTTTGCCAAAAGTGCAAATACTGAATGTCACTTTGACATACTAGTTTAACTTGATATATTTGAATGAATATAGAATTAAGCATAATTTTATACATACAGATGAATTCTAAAACATGACTGGAAATAACTGTTTTTGGACTGGAAGTGTAGTTGTATATATAGAGGGATTGGGAAAATATAGTAAAATGTCGTGTGTGTGTGTGTATTTGTATTTTAACTTTTGAATTTTTTTGTGGTATATTCCCAAGTTTTTAAGTAGATTGTAGAAATGAACTAATAATTTGACCTTTAGTGTTTGTCAATTTTAAGACATTGCTTATTTAGTCTATCTAGCATATAATGCTAGATCATTTTTATGCAGACTGTAAATATACCCAACAATAACATCCCAATCATTAGATGTTACCATTTATGTAAAAAGAAGATATCAAGATTTTTATTAACTGTGACTTTCTGTTTATCTTTTAATGATTAATTTTTCTGGGTGCTGCAAGCCAGTATCAGGTATCACTGGTCCTTTGCATTTAATCTTTTTACCTCCCCTCAAACTTCTGTGAAACCTAATGTAGTTAGTCCTTGACTTACAACAGTTTGTTTAGTGACTGTTCAAAGTTAAAATGGCACTGAAAAAAGCAACTTATGACCATTTTTCACACTTATGATCGTTGCAGCATCCCCATAGTCACATGATTTACATTTAGATCGTCGACAACTGATTCATATTTAGGAGAGTTGCAGTGTCCCAGAGTTATGACATCTTTTGCAACCTTCAGACAAACGAAGTCAATGGGGAATCCAGATTCACTTAACAACTGTGTTGCTAATTTAACAACTGCAGTGATTCACTTAACAAATGTGGCAAGAAAAGCCGTAAAATGGGGCAAAACTCACTTAACAAATTTCTCACTTAGCAACATAAATTCTGGGCTCAATTGTGGTTGTAAATCGAGGATTACCTGTATTATAAAATATATTTTTTGAGATTGCAATCCTAACTCCACTTAATTGAAAATAAACAGTCCTAGGATCATAATTCAGAGATACAGAATTGTATTCCATGTAAGATAGATAAAATTTCTATTATAAAATAGCAAGGTAACTTGGATAAAGAATATATTCCAATTTTCTCAAAATTGTCATCCCATCAAAGCAGCAATCACTTTTTTTTCATTTATATTTTTTAGAAATGTTGATCATTCATTTATACATAATTCTGCTAGTATTAGTGAATAGAGTATTTAGCGTTAGCTCAGAATCTAAACTATCATATTGATTTCAAAACATTTTGACACTCTTCATTTCCAAAAGATATCATAAGAACACAATTCTAAAGAAAAGGTATGGCCCCATATTGAAGTTCATGAAACTTGGAATTGGAAGACCTTGGTATTGTTTCTCTTAATCAGATATTTCTCATATATTTGTGAGGCTTAGTGTGGCCCCTTTACTGTCACTGTATTACCTATTTTGAACTACCCATTATGGTTTGCATCCAAAATTGTAACCAAGCTCTGCATTTATTTCTAATAGAACTGCAACTACTTCTAACATTACAATAATAAACTGAACAGTGTATAGACAAATTATAGACAATAACATCTTACCCAATTGTGTTTATTGATGTTGGAATGCTTTGAGGATGATGTGGATGTAATAATTTGCTATCTAATAATAATTGGCTGCTAATTGCTTTTTTATGGAATTTAAAGCCATTTTCAACCTTTTAAACTTCTTGAGTTTGATTAAATAAGTTTATTAGTGCTAACATTGCTGATACAAAAGATGTTTGTATTAGTTAAGAAGTTTCAACTATGTTAAAAACTGCTCTTGAATGTATATCTTCAGTGTCTAATAAGAGTTGAAATGATGCATGTATGTAATTATAAATGTTCATACTTAGCAATTGAAAGCTTCTAAACTGCTTTGGACTATTGATGATTGCTATTAACATTGCAATCTATGTTTCCTTATGGATGCTAACTCAGGGAGTTTCTCTTCTCTTTCTAGTATTTACCCCAAATTTGTTTGGTTTGCCTTCTGTTAGACAAGTTTTTTTTAACACTAATCCATAAAAATGGAATGACTAACAGTAATTCTGAATAAAATGTTTAGGATGTTGGAATAAGAGAGGGATAAGAAATGCACAGAATACAGGCTTTTTAAAAAAATAAAAATAAATAAATTTAGGTCTTGCTGAAAAGAGTTTAAAAATTTCTCAGTTGAAATAAAGGTGCAGCATAGGTATTAAATATATGTGCAAATGATTTTGTTTTATAGCATAAAATGGGGAAAAAACAGAATGGCAAGGGTAAAAAAGTTGAAGAAGCAGAACCTGAAGAATTTGTTGTAGAAAAAGTCCTGGATCGACGTGTAGTTAATGGCAAGGTGGAGTACTTCTTAAAATGGAAGGGATTTACTGAGTAAGGAATTTCATACATTTTTTTTTCTAAAATATTTTCAATATCAGTGTTAAATTGAAGAATTCTGCAAAGATATATGAAAAGATTGCTATCACCAATTTCAGGAAAAGTCAAGTTCATATACTCTGAACTTCTGGATTCAGCTCCAATATGGATGGAAAATAGGCAGGCTATTTTTCAATATAAAACTGGCTTCCCTTCTTAATATTGATAGAGTTGTGGTAAATGCTGCATTTTCTACTGGATTGTGCTTGAGTTGTATAGCCTATGAATAATCTGTCTCTTGTGGAAGTAGCAATATACAGTGCAATCCTAAACATGTTTGCCAAGCAGTCAGCATCATTTTATTCAAAGGATTTATTCTCTGTACTGTTAAAATTTTAATATTTCTTCCAGGAATACTCTTCAGCTGTAGGGGGGAAAAAAGCAGACAACTTGTTAAGCATGTTACTTTCAGTAATGACCCATTCTGTTTTGGAAATTAAAAAATGAATTCATGCTATCAAAGTATAACGCTCAATTATGGCACTTAAATTTACTCAGATCAGCAGGGAAAGTGTTTAATAATTAACATTATTTTTTTTTAATTTTCCTTCTGTTGATTGTAAATGCTTATAGTATTGGGTTACAATGTACTGTAGCATTTCAAGAAAATAAAACAAACATCCTAGAATTCATTTTTCCACTTACTAATTATCTCTGGTTGTTATTTTGAGTGTATTCTACAAGCCACATGTCATAACGTTGCATTGTTCAGTTTGTAGCAGGGTTGAGCAACATTTTGGTAACCAGGTGACCTCAATTTATATTTTTGAATGAATTGAAAACTATATTGTTAATGCTAGGTTATATTATTTATATTATTTTTTTCCTGGATTTCTAGGTAAAATCTATTTTTTTTTCCACATTTTTTTCCAAACCTTTGGGGCGATTAGGATGTCAGAATCTGGAAGATTGGCATTGTCAAGTTTTAGCAATAATAGTTGACTGCAAAAACACTGGCTGGGAACTGCATGTGACATTCTATATTATATTTAATACATTTTGTCTGAAAAAATTATCCAGTATAATTTCAACTTGATTTAGCTACTCTAGCAACTAGTCTACAGAAATGGATTTTGAAAACAAATTGACACTTGAACTGTTTTAGGAATTAAGCAGATAATTTCGATTTCATGTGTAACTATGACTTGTGGACCTTCAGGTTAAGCCCTGATAACAGGTTTTTATTTTTTTGTTTACCAAATTCTTTTTTTTTTAGTGCTGATAACACATGGGAGCCTGAAGAAAATTTGGATTGTCCAGAGTTAATAGAAGCTTTTCTGAATTCTCAGAAAGCTGGTAAAGAAAAAACAGAAGGTACCAAAAGAAAATCCCTTTCAGATAGTGAATCTGAGGACAGCAAATCAAAGAAAAAGAGGGATTCTGTAAGTTAATGAAAACATTAAACAGACATTCAAATATGAATAGAGAAGGCAAGGGAGGACCATATACACCAAGAATAGTTATGTCTTAGCCCCTTGTTAAAGGCTCAGTTTTCATGGATCATTCCTAACATATATGTTACAGGCATAATGTGCTTGTACTTTACAAATTGAATCCTCTTTTACATACATATATGCCAGATCCCTCTGCATGGTCCCAGTTTCTTCAGCAATTCTGCTTCTGAAGATGACTTTATTACAGTTACTTACTGTCATTTCATTCCTGGGAAATTTCTTAGGAAAGGATTTGAAACGGATATCTCAGTCCTAGAATGGTAGGGGAAATGTAATATTGAACTTCTCCAAAAGATGACAATAAGAAAAATCCTGGTCAACAGGATGCTTAAAACTTGGCATAGGAGCTGCAGCAGATTGCAAGTCACTTTTGAGAAATACATGTAGTCCACAGGCCAGCTCTTAACTTATACTGTTCTGAATGTATTGAGAGATCATATGCTGTTTTTTTTCCCCCATAATCAGAAGATAATGGAAGGATTTACAATTCTCTAAATATTTACTCCAACAGGTTGATAAACCCAGGGGATTTGCACGAGGTCTTGATCCTGAACGAATAATTGGAGCCACAGATAGCAGTGGAGAACTTATGTTTCTTATGAAATGGTAAGCAATAGATTAGAATGTTTAGATTACAATATGATTTCTATTAAACTTAAGAAATATTATTTTTTCTGCTACTACAAACTAGTCAATAACGTTTAAGGGATTTTGTTAGGTTACTTTTTCTTTTTTAATGTTGATAAATCATACCATACTATTTAAGAAGTCAGAAAACCTATTATAATTTTATCACAGGTAAACAATCTGACTTGTAATATTAATGTATCTGACCACAGTTATTAAAATTATTTTGTTATTCTGTAAGGCATAAAAGCCTAATTTCTTTCTACTTGTTTTTGGGAGCACATTACACTGACTTTGTAGTGATTAATTCTCATTAGATCTTTAAAATTTGGTAACTGTATTCATAAATTACCATTTCAATCCTATTGATTTAGAATCTAGTCAAAGTTATCTACCAGCCATCCTTAACACAGACTAACAGATTTTGAATGATTAGAGTAGGAATTCTTAAAACTTCTGTAATTCTGTTACTTAATATGAATAATATCAGAGCTGAGATACAATCAAAGGAGATGCTTTGAAATATATAAAATGAAATAATTGAGGCAGCTACATCTTTTTTGGATTATAGAGTTGGTATAAAAAGACATAGCTGTTTTTCATTATTCAAAGACCTGTTTCATAGGAGCTGTTGTGCATTTCAAAGCATCTCTTTTGAAACATGAAAACTCTTATACATTCAAATCTGCTTGCCTGAAAAAGAATGTTAATCCATGCTTTGATTGATTGATTGGTTGGTTGGTTGATTCCAACTTTTAACAACCACATAGATAATTTGAAATAGAAATGCACAGGGATAAGCTATGTGCAGATGTGAGTAGTTATGATTAAGATTAGCACTCCAGAGAAACAAATGGAGATTTTAACTTCATGGCAGTTTAGCCATGATTAGAGTGAGTTCTACCTAAAGAAATGAAAAACTGTTCCCTATAGTATAATTCTCTCTTATAATACATGATTTATATGTAATTTATACATATGCTTAGTTAAAATGAAGTATTAACCACAAAGCTTAGGGATAATAGCGAATTATAAATGTCATAAATGATGCTAATGATGTCAAGGCTAAAGGGGAAGGATTGTTGTATATTGCCCAGTCACTTTTTGTGAGATGGACAGCTATACAAATTTGTTAAATAAATTGTAAAAACTAATAATAGGACACAAACAGGTCTATGTGAGTCAAGGATATCTTCAGTTGACATTAGAAATAGTTTTTAATATATTAATTGGACATTCTTTCTTAAAACAGGAAAGACTCAGATGAAGCTGACCTGGTATTAGCTAAAGAAGCTAATGTGAAATGTCCTCAGATTGTAATTGCTTTTTATGAAGAACGATTAACTTGGCATTCTTGCCCAGAGGATGAAGCACAATAATTGTTTGGATTCTCTTCTTCCCTTCCCCCCCCCCTTTCTTAATATATGTATGATATTTGATTTAACAAAAGTGGAAAACTCCTATTGAGTCCTATTAAGATAAGTTTGGTTACCTTAAAAGTAATATGTTTTGCATAAAGAAGAAAGCAAAAGTGCTATTCACTTTGTTTATGATAAGAAAACATTTGATACTGCTTTCTGTGTATTGGATCAAATGTTTTATAAAATTTGGTAGTTAATAGTGATCCTTAATGGCAACTTATTCAGATTTACAAGTGTTTTGTAGCTCTATATACAACAAATGTGCATGCATTTTTTTCTGCCATATAGTCTGTAAAATCATTTTATTTAGTATTTGTAGCAAATTGGTTCAGAGGGGACCAGGTGAAAACCTTGTTTCAATTTGAAAGTGCATATTGTATATTATTTTATTGTAGATACTGCTGAAGAGCTACCAATAAAATAGTTTCATATTCTTGTGCTTTCTTTACCAAACTGCAGGGAGCTAAAAGGTTTTGAAAGCTATTTTGGTATGGAAAATATCCACTAAAGGATAGAGACAGAGTTTTGTTTTTTGCAAAAAAACCAAACAAAAACAAAACCATTTTAACTAGCAAGCAGTTACCGTATATGCCGGCGTATTAGGCGACCCGGTGTATAAGATGACCCCCATCTTTATAGCCGGGCCGCATTCCTAGAACATCATCTTATACGCCAGAAACTACCAGTATTTCCGGCGTATAAGACGACTCGACGTATAAGACCACCCCCGTCTTTGGCGCCGATTTCAGCGCTCGCGGAAGTCGTCTTATACGCCGGCATTTACGGTACATGAAATTTATAGTTTTCTCCCATAAATGTTTATAAGTTGTTTCTCAGTATTAGCAAAATAAGAAAACAAATATAAAAAACATGTGTGGTACATTGAATATTTAATTTTTTAAGACTAATTTGCAGGCTTGGTAATCACAATTATAGTACTCAGAATATATGGCTGAGTAATTAAGTCCTGACTTAATCCCCTTAAACCCTATATCTGATGCTTTACAAATTAATAAATTATTGGTGTCTTAGTCTTAATTTGTTTAGGAACGATTATCCCTAATCCCAATATACGCATCAAATAAAATTATTTTAAAAGATTACTTGATAGATTTATGTAGATAGCAAAATTGAAGCATGGAACTGCAAAAAAAGAGGACTTAGAGTGTGTGTGTGTGTGTATCATATATCATATCATATAATAAATTGTTAAATCACAATTTGATCATCCAAATAGGGTTGCTATATGTGTGATTAAGTTTTAAATTCAAGTGCATGCAAATAACTACATTATTTCATGCAAGCTTTTAGTGTGTCAAGAAAAAAAACGGAGGCAACTGCCCTTATATTTTTGCTGTCTGTACTGATTGTACCAGCAATACTTCTTGAGGCAAAAGGCAATGTAATATACTCTATGGAACACATTTATCAACACTATCACTCATCTCGTATTTTTTGTATGTCTGTTTATGGATTCATTTGGCTTCAATTTTATTATGTTTGGGCGAGCAATAAGGAACCTTGTCAAGTATGACTTAATTGTCATTATTTGGTTTCTAATATAGTTCAGTGATTCCGTTTATATGCTGGATTAATAGAATGGAAATTCGCCATAATAAGTTTTGATTTTAAAAATCAACGTAATAATTCATCTCATTTCTGAGAATTACTGTAAAAATAAATATGGCACCATATTGAAAAAAAACCCCTAGAGTTCTAAACATGAAGTCAGTTCACTGCCTTTCAATAAACCTATATCCTGATACATGTGAGGTTTCTTTCAATTTTTTTTTGTTTTGCTGATTTCTTCCATTTTGTTCAGTATTTGTATTTCTACTTACGTTTTTGTCAAAATTTATTAAATATTTTATTTATATAGTAACATACATATCTCCTACATTCATATTCAATCTATCAAAAACAGTACTGTAAAAATCATATTAAAAATACAAGTCAAAATAGTCAAGGAAATGGTAAGAGAACACATATCCACTCTGGACGAATTAAAATCAACAGGTCTAGATGGATTACATGCAAGGGTTCTAAAGGAGCTGGCAGACATGATCTCAAAACCACTGAATGAAATCTTTCAAAGATCCTGGAGCACTGGGAACTACCAGAGGACTAGAGAGAAGAGCTGACATGGTTCCCATCTTCAGAAAAGGATTGAGGAAACTATAGACCTATCAGCCTGGGAAGAGTCTGGTAAAGATAAGCAATGAATTTGTAAACACCTAAAGGCAAGCAAAGTTATAACCAAAAATCAACATGGATTTGTCAAAAATAGATCGTGCCAAACAAATCTTGTTGCAATTTTTGGCAAAGTAGCTAAATTAGTGGACCAGTGAAATGCTGTGGACATAATTTACTTGGACTTTAGTAAGGCATTTGTTAAAGTAGACCACAACCTACTGCTTGGTAAGATAGGAAAATGTGGGTTAGACATCACCAACAGATGGATTTGCACTGGCTGATCAACCACATTCAATGTGTAGTCCTTAATGAAACTACATCTACTTGGAAGGAAGTATGCAGTGGGTTACCTCAAGGTTCTGTCTTAGGTCTAGTACTCAACATCTTCATAAATGATTTAGATGAGGGGATAAAAGGGGAATTCAAGCTTGCAGGTGACACCCAGCTGGTAGGAATAGCCAACACTTTAGAAGATAGGCTCAAGATTGAAAAGGATCTTGATAAACACTAGGACCTATCCAAAAATGAAATTCAGTAGTGAGAAAAATAAGACTTTACACTCAAAAGAAAAAGTGTCAAATACAGAATAAGTGATACCTGACTCAATAGCAGTAACTAAGGGATCTAGAGTCTTTGTAAGTGAACTAACACTAAATAAGAGACAGCAGTGCTGCAGCCACCAAAAAAGCCAACACAGTCTTAGGCTGCATTAATAGAGGGATAGACTCAAGATCAAAGGAAGTGCTAGTACTGCTTTATAATGCCTTGCTAAGATCACAGTTGGAATATTGCATCCAGTTTTGGTTGCTATGATAAGATGTTGAGACTCTAGAAAGTGCCAAAAAGAGCAAAAAAAAATTAGGGAGACTAAAATCAATAGTTGCAGGAATTGGGCATCTCTAGTCTAATGAAAAGGACTATGGGTGACATGATGCCGTAATAGTCTTCCAATATTTAAGGCACTGCAATGAAGAAGACAGGATCAACCAATTTTCCAAAACAACTGAAGGAAAGGCAAGAAGCAAAAAAATGGAAATTAATCAGGGAGAGATACAACCTAGAAATAAGGAAAAATTTCCTGACACTTAGAACAATCAGTGGAACATCAGAAGTTGTGAATGCTCCCATCACTGGAGATTTTGCAGCACCATTGAGCAACACGTCCTGGACAGTTTCTAAAGCTAATGCATGATGTACAGTACTGTCACCTAAAATGCAATGGCACAAGAGTTCACCATTTGGTCAGGATGCCATATATAAATATGTTTTTGAAGAGCACAAGGAAGCTTCAATTAGTCTAGATTTAATGGACTGATCATCGGTAGGCACGCACTAACCAGAGCATAGTACAACTGCCACTCAAGTACCTGCATTAGTTTTCCATTATATTCCATGTGCAATTTAAAGTACTGCTTTTAACTTTTAATGCCTTGCATGGCTTGACATTAAACACTTTCTCACTCAACTTTTATCATGGTGAAATTTTTAATAAAAAATTACTAAAAATTATTTAAGGGTGGGCTTCAGTTGTATAATGTTATCTTCTGTTTTTTGATTGGTGGGTTTTTTAATTTTATCTACGCTTCTATTATTACTGTTCTGTAAAAGTAAACCCACTGAGAATGTCTTGATTATGATGGATAAGAGAACTGAATAAAAATTTAATGAAGAATAGAATTTAGTACTGTTTTATAATGCCTTGGATGTTGATTGAATGAAAAAGTGAGTAATCAATGTAAAAGAATTACATGAAGGGATTTGACCATGTAGAAAGAATGAATTAGCACAGAGTAAATATATGAAGGAAGAATGAACTGTCAAACAGAAGGGGAGGACCTAGAAAGTTGTAGGCTGATGAAATCCTGAAAAAAAAAAACAATAAAAGGTTTAAAGAACAAAAGACAATATATGAAAGAGTGTATGGATGCGTGGAATTGAGGAAAGAGAAATATATTAATGTGTGATCTCGTGCTTTTAATTTCTTTACCTTAATACAGGTAGGTCATGATTAGTGTGAGTGTAGACAAAGCAATATTCAGTTTAGTGTGAATTGTACATTGATACTAGGTTGTATTTAAAATGGACCAAAATTCAGGTTCAATATGAGTTTAGCAAGTTGGCAATAAAGATTAGCACATGGGAAGTTGCTGTTGAGGTTTACATGCTGCTAAGTTTTGTACGTGCAAAATGGAAAAAATGAAGATTCCATTAGAAGAAAACAACATAAGTTTAAAAATAGGCTCTTTACATTAGAAGAAACAACAAAAATGTTGAAGATCTGTAGCAGAATTTTTTTGGTTTTTATTTTACTTTCTATAATTTGTGACTTTGTTAACATAAATTTAAAAATATATATTTTTTATCCTTTTCTGTAATGTTTCATACAAAAAGTTACGTTTAAAACTTTTTATTACCCATTTCCTTCAAGTGGGAGCCAATCGTTATATTGCTGAATAATGCAAATTGGAATAATGCAATCATTTTGTGGGATTCATTAATAATAATTAATTAAGACCCTACTGTATTTCTCTCACTTCTACATTTTGCATAATACTTACATTAAAAAATGAGTAGCTTGATGGATATGTATAAATGTACAATAGCTACCTCACTTTAAATCCTAATTTGAGGTCATTTGCATCCAAGTTTTAAAAGTATGATCCCAAAACCTAGGAAAAATCCACCCCATCTCAGGAGTGTGGGAATTTCCAACGTAGTTCTAGTTTCTGTTTTCTTAACAAATGCCAATCTATGTCAGCAATTGTCCTTTTATCTTATGGCTAAGTTTTCTCAAAGCTTTTGATATGACATTTTGTCAAAGGTTTCTCAACATTCCTAATGCATAGTATTTGTTATATTATGTCACCCACTTTAATGTATTTGTTACCATAATCAAAAGAGGATGCAAGGGCTCAGCGGTTAAAGATCCTGAGCCTGGCTGACAGCCCAAGTTCGAAATCTAGGACACACTTTTTAAACTTTTTAAATTAAATTAAATTTTAATTTGGTTGCTTGGTATATAATCTAAACAGAATGGAATTGAAGAATGTTGATTTAGATGCTTATTTCTTTTAGAAAAATGCTGTACTTGCATGTTTAGCAAAAATACAGGATATGATGTAAAGCCCATAGAGAATATATGATTTCAAAATCTAATTTTATTTTTCTTTTATTTATATCAAATTTGGAGACTGCCCATCTTGCTTGCAAAGCATATGAGTTTAAATGTTAGTTCAGTAA